CAAAGACGATGCCTAGTAAGCTGAAAAATATTTTATTTGCTTTAACATTTGAAGAAGAATACATTAATTATATAATATTATTGTATATTGTGGGTTTGAACTCAGTATCTTTAGCTTATGAAGCAACTACATGTGACATTAATATATATGTATATATATATATATATATATATATATATATATATATATATATATATATATATATATATATATATATATATATATATATATATATATATATATGATAATAAATATACATTGTATATTGTTTATTAATATATATGTATATATGTATGCTACTATATATGTTATTATGCTATTATAAATATATACCTGCAGGAGTTGACTGTTTTCTGACTACAGAATCCACCAAGTCTTCTCTTGAGCCTAGAAAAAAGATGATTAATAAGGTTCATGTTTAATAAATAACTTAAATTTTATTTAACAACTTTAAATGTTAGATTTTTACACATGTAAAATTGAGCTGATGTCTACAACATTCAAGGAAAAATTAAAATTCTATCACCAGTAAATTGAAGCTTTTGCTACTTTTTTTATCCATAATACAGTGCTAAATTCCATAGTAAATTTCTCTGTGCAGCACAGTTAAAAAATTAACTGCACAAAAAAGACTTCGGAAAGAATGCCTTGACTTTTTGTTAACACCATAAACAAAAGAAATTAAAAAAAAAAAAACTTAACAGGGTGTTTAATATTGCATACTTAGATCTACACAAAATGTCACTGATAACATTATACTGAAAAAGTCATCTGCAGATTCATACACTCATTAACAGAAAGTTTTTCTTTGGATATGCAGTATTTACGTATGAAAGAAATTTATCACAATACAAAAATATAATTCTATTTCTAAAGCCAACAACAAAACTTAGGAATCCAAGTTTGGAGTTCCAATAACTTAAAACAACAATCCAAAAATATTTGTTCAAATGTTTTTGAAGTGCTATGATCATACCCTTTTCCAGCTTCTAAAAATACTTAAAACTTTAGCACCGTGTGTTATTGAGAACACATGCATTTGTTTACTTCATGTAAAAGAATCAGAGAATCAGTAAAAAAAGCGTTAGAAGAGAATTTTGGTGTTTTTACATTATTTGAAGTTAATTAACTGATACAAAAAAATTTAACAAGCCTTTTGCTTAAATTAATTTTGTCATTCTGCCATTGTGTAAACTTTTAAAATAACAATCTAAAATTAATTAAATTGAAACAATAAGTAACATTTTATTAACATTAATAATCCAAATTAAATATCAAACTTATTTTATTGAATTTTTCTGTATTGACTTTTAATTTGTTCAGTTTTAATGACTAAGATATGACTAGATTATCTACATATATATATATATATATATATATATATATATATATATATATATATATATATATATATATATATATATATATATATATATATACATCACATGTAGATAACCTGGTCATATATATATATATGTATATATATATATATATATATATATATATATATATATATATATATATATATATATATATATATATATATATATATATATATCACATGTAGATAACCTAGTCATATATATATATATATATATATATATATATATATATATATATATATATATATATATATATATATATATATATATATATATATATATGTATATATATATATATATATATATATATATATATATATATATATATATATATATATATATATATATATATATATATATATATATATATATATTACATATTTACATATATCATTTAAACAATAAATATAAGTACATAGTGGAATAACCACTATATAAGTTACACCTCATGCATGATTTTGAATTTTATCCAATAGGTGCTAATCATAACATAACTCTGGCTTTTATCCAATAAGTACTAATCATAGCATAAATCTGGCTTTTATCCAATAGGTACTAACCATAATGGCGTGTTTATATTTTACAAGTTTATCTGTTGCAACAGAGATGGAATTCTTATGTAATGTTTAAAAACTCTGGTTTTTAATGCTTTATTGCTGTTCAATATTACTATCAATTTACTAAAAGAGTTACTAAACAAATCTAGTATCATTCAAAGTGTGTTACAAGGGAATTCTGACTATAATAGATCTATCAAATATCTGTCCTTTAAAAGTTTCTTATATTTACAAATCAAATGAAAAAGTTCTAAGCTTCAGCAAGTTTTGCTCTCTCAAAGACAACTCAAGTTGAAAACTAATTCATAAAGAAGACATTGCTTTTATTTATACTGAATTTATTTTATTCTTTATGTTCCCAGTCCCCTGAGAAAAAATTATGTTTTACAGACAAGTTTTTAATACATCCTCCATAAAATGTATAACTTCAACAAAATGTTTTCAAGAAATTGTACATAGTGCATTCAATTTCTTGCGATTTTTTTTTTAAGAAATTGAACATAAGTTTGCACAAGTTTAGACTATACAAATATACAAATTTGACAAAGATAAGGTATTTTTGTGTAAAAATTTTTATATATTATCATAAAAATGCTGCTACAAATTAATTACTTTTTTAATCTTTATATTAAATTTATAAAAGTCTTATTAACCTGGATATCAGAGGGTATATATATATATATATATATATATATATATATATATATATATATATATATATATATATATATATATATATATATATATATATATATATATACATATATATATATATATATATATATACATATATATATATATATATATATACATATATATATATATATATATATATATATATATATATATATATATATATATATATATACATATACATATATATATATATATATATATATATATATATATATATATATATATATATATATATATATATATATATATATATATATATATATATATATATATATATATATATATATATGTATATATATATATATAGAGAGAGAGAGAGAGTGAGAGAGAGAGAAAAAGAGAGAGTTGTGCTCATTTACTCTTGCTGAGGCCTGTATATACTTATATGTATACAGGCCTTGTGATAAAGCATGTCTGTAAATGGCCTTCTGGGCGCCACAAATAGTGCTCGCTAATTTCGTTATGAGAGTAAAAATTGCGCTCATCAGATGAACTTGCAAGGAAGAAAATTATAAACTGATTTTTTAGAAAATAGTTTTGCTGAAGTCAAAATATGTTTAACTAAACACAGAGTTTGCATATTGTTAAACAATATTTAAATAATACCAACAAAATTATATTCTTTATAAAGTACGTCACGCATAAATTAAAATAAAAAATCTCATTGCAAGAGAGCCAATGATTATTTCTTCTATTTGAAAGTTAAATTCAGCATGATTTTTTTTAAAAACTCCCTTTAAAAGTTTATCATATTATCCCTTAATAGTACCCTTGTTAGGTTGAACCATTCGCTAACTCATACAGGTTTTTTGACAAAAAACTTTGCTTAACTAGGACTTTTACTCTAAATTACATAAAATGTAATAAAATATCAAAACTTGCAACACTTCAATAAAAATCCAAACTTTGAAATGCTTATAAACGAATGTTTAAAAATTAAATATCTAGCGTAATATTTTATTTATAATAATTTATCAAACTAAAATTTTATTTATACCTTCGATTTTGTACAGGTTCTATCACATTCTATTTATTAATGACTATTATATTTAAAATTCAAAAAACATTAAAAAAAAATTCAAAAATTCAAACATCAAATACTTTTGTGCCAAATATAATTTAATAAACTAAACACTTTCACTGATACCTTCGAATTGGTCAAGCTTATAATAAAAACCATTTATTAAAAAAGTTGAAACGAAACCAAACTAAATATAAAACTCTTTAGAGTCCAAATTAACAGGATTCTACTGTTTATTATTATTTGTTATAATGCAGTAGTAGTAGTGTAGTGGTAGAGCGCTCGCTTCATAAACAAGTGGTTCTGAGTTCGATCCCCACCACGTCCCTGGTAGTACCCCGCTCAACTCGTTTCTCCGCGCAGCGGCCTTGTTCGTCAAGGCTCATGTTTAAGAGTTATAGAGTTGAGAGAGGGTTATAGCCACAAATAAGTAGCCTCCTCGTCTGTAGTGGCCTTCTCGACCTTGAGGAGGTAAATTAAAATTAAAAAAAAAAAAAAAGTATTGTTTTATGAAACTTTGGGAAGCGTGCTCAAACAAACAACAAAAAAAAAATTTAATGTCACTAGTTTCATGCCTTCATGATCTAGTTTTTACAGATGTAACAAACGCATTTTTACAATTATATAATTAAATAATTACTTTTTTAATAATAATTCAACTGTGAAAACTTGATTTGAAATAAATTTAAATTTTTGAGAACGGCTATAAAATAAATAAAACTATGCGATATTTCATTGTTTTAATTAAATAATTTTTAAGCTGCATATTTCTTCCGGTTAGTAGGCAAACGTATTAACAAAAAAACATTAAAGCTTTTTCATCTGATTTCCTGGAAAAATTAAAACAAAAAATTGTCTATCATTTCCCTTGCATCTACTATTACATTTTTGGGTGACCAAAATATTTGAAGCCAAAAAGAAACAGGATGTTGCCTGAGCATGGAGAACAGATTGCGTTTTTAAATTATAACTTGCCTAATTTCTTACAATAAATAATTAATTTAAACATAATAAACTAATAAATTGATATATAATAGCAATAACGAATTTTTTATAATAAATAATTAATTTAAACATAATAAACTAATAAATTGCTATATAATAACAATAACAATAACTTTATTTGTAATTAATAATTATTAAATAGTAATTTTATTATACTTACAAAGTACAAACTACTGTATACTAAACTAAACTGTTTATAATATAATTTTAAAGTTTAGACTTGATTAAGTTGATGAGAAGTCAAACTAGTTTTATAATTCACACCCTGATTTAATTAATAATTTTTAATTAATATTTACTAATTAGCTAGTCATTTTTTTCCATATAAAATTAAACTTGTTCAAACAAGCATAGCTACATCCTAAAAACCTATGACATTGCATAATTAAAAAAAAAAAATTGATTATTTGTGGTGGTAATGAAATACCTTGTGCGTTAAAATACATATAATTTCAGTACTATATATGTAAACATATTATTTTTCAACAATTAGTATTATCTCTAGATAGCAAGATAGCAAATTTTAGCGAAAGCTTTGGCAATGGCCAAAGCTTCGGCTTTGGAAAGAGTGACTTAGCTTGAAGATTTGGCTTTGGAAAAATCTTAGCTTCAGTATATCCCTTCAGTACATCCTGATTACAGCTTGTGGACTTAGCTTACTATCGTAATACTTAGTTTACAAGCTAAAAACAATTAGGATTTATGAACCAGGTACCAGTCCTAAAGCAAGGTTCATGACAGATGCTTTGTATCACATGCTTTTGGAATTGACATCACCTTTATTCTTGGTATCTTTCATTTAAAGCAATAGTAGGCTCTTGCAGATCCAGACTTTAAAATTCAAATGAAGCCTGACATTTTCAAGGTTCCTAACATTAATGAAATTAATATAGAAAAACCAATTCTTGTTTAAGCAAAAAAAATAGAGAAATTTTTTAATCAAACACCTCAAAAACAATTGTGCAAAAAAGAACATTGAACTTATACAAAATTTTGTGAACTTTTCACTCTGTGAATTAGAGACAAAATGTTTTCCTGGTTAATCAAAATCAAACACAGATTGCAAAGAACATTTATTAGAAAAACCTTCTTTATTTGAAATAAACATTTTTATTTGAAACACAAGCAAACATTGTTTTGTGGTTTAATTATCTCAGAGAAAAGTTGATAATACTAAGAATTAAAACAATAATTATACAAATTAACCTGCTTTACATGTTTGCTAGTATATAATAGCAAAAGTGATGAATATTTAAACTAGTGAAAAACTACCTGTTCCAATGATCCTAGTAGGCTAAAACTTTCAATATAAGATTGTCTATAGATTCAGAACAGGCACTTACAAAGTCTATTGAAACTCTTTGAAAAAAATTAAAAAAGTCCAACAAAATTGTCACTCTAATCTTCATTAACTAAACTATGGTGATTCTTCCACACTGAGAGATTTTACAGTGTCAATTGGAAAATAATGTATGTACTCAATCCACCAGTTTTTTTTGTAGTACTAATTTATGAGTGTACTAAATAACAAAAACTAGCCAATTTATTTAGTCATAAAATATTGATGACATAATAGTGAAGTCAATTTTAGCACTAGTATACCAGTTTGGAGACCATTTTATTAAGAGGTAAATATAAAAATTTCTTTTTTTTTTTTTTCTTATGAGTTCTTTTCTTTATATAGCATAAAATAAAGCATAAAAAAATATTGCTAAAAATAAGATTTTTTTACTTGAAAAGTTTCATAAATATAAGATTATACAAAAAAAACACCAAAAAATAAAAAACTTTTAAAAATAAATAAACTATATTAAAACCTTTTTAAGCACAAAAAAATTTGTAACCAGCAACAGGGGTATCTCCTTACAGCGGTATCTTAATAAGTTAAAATGTTTTGAACGAGACATTTATGATAACAATTCTCTCCCACCTTTAAAAACTCGCAATAAAATGGCCAAACATCTTTTTCATTTATTGTCTCCAAATATATTAAAATAATGTAAGTTGTTTTCTTTTGTTGAAGAATTAAAGCAAATTAATATAAATTATAAATTTATCATTTTATATGATTTAGAAAGTTTATTTACAAACATTTTATTACAAGCTTATAAACAAGTATTATCAGCTGTCTCAAAAAATATGACAAGTACTCCCAAATAACAACCAAAATATTTAAAAAAATATTGCATAGAGGTATTTCAAAATAAAATTAATTTTGTTAAATATTAATTACTAAAATTCAAAATTGAAAATCAATTTTTATTCAAGTTTTTAAAAAAAATAATAAAATGATCACAAAAACAGAAAAATACCTCGACCACCAACCATTTTTTTTGAAGAAACAATACGTCTTATAGAAATTGGACTGCTGCTTTGTTGATCCTATATATTGCATATATATATATATATATATATACATTATATATATATATATATATATATATATATATATATATATATATATATATATATATATATATATATATATATATATATATATATATATATATATATATATATATATATATATATATATATATATATATATATATATATATATATATATAAATATATATATATATGTATATATAAGGGGTGTTCAGAAAAACAAATTTTGGAATTCAAAAAACAAAACCATGTAGATCTGAAGCAAATATGCTTGAAACAAATCAAAAAAAAATTGAACCAATTGAATCTTTCCTTGCCCTCAAAGGATATATTTAGAAAAATAAACACCTCAAAATGACTAAAAACAGTTTATTTTAAGCGCCAAGACTAACATAAGTATTTTTAATTTTTTTTTTCTAGGGCATAAGTAAATATATGAACTTTTGATTAAAATGATATGATTTTTCTTTTCTCACCTAGAAACAGTATAATTTACATTTCAAATTGGCTAAAATTTAGTTGTTACGCGGTGCAGCGTTTTTATTTTTATTCATAGTAAAGTTTACAAATGTTTATATTCAGAATCAGATAAAAATTACTCATTTAATGTATGTCTGATATTACTAATATTTTAGATATAACATACTCTTATGTTATAACAAAATTTTACTTATCAAAAACAATTTGTTTTAAATAAGACATGTGGATTGCAATGTTTTTCAATGAAATCTACTTTATGTTCTCTAAGCTAGTTTAAAGTTGTCCCAGAATAGTGACATGATGCTAAATCGAACCAAAGAACGGATTACCTGTGTGTGTTCTTAAAAACGGTAAAAGATGTTTCTTGAGGCATTCTTTTATGTATATTTTGGTGTTAATTGTTCCTGTAGTAGTCACAAAACAAGAGCTTCTTTCACCACATTTTCAAATTGCTTGCCAAACTAAGAATTTTTTAGTGAATTTTTGCATTCTAATACATTTTTTATTGGACTTTAGTTTTTTGCAATTAATTGAATAATACTGGAGATCGGAAATATGCAGCGCAATAAGTTTCATCATCAATAATCAAACAAGATTTTTTGCACATAATTTTTTGTAGAGCAACTTTGAACAACGAATTGCGTCATTTTCTTACTTTTCTTCACGACGAGGAATTTTTTTCTTTTTTTAAGATTTATAGTCACAATTTCTCTTCACTCTTTGTTTAGTGGAAGCACTTGTCGTAAATTTATTTGCTAAAGTTTGAACAGCAATCTCTGGTTTTGTGTCTAAAACATCTTTCACTTTTTTACCAAGATCTTGTCTAACAAAACATTTTTTTCTTCCACTTGATTTCCTTTTAATTATAATAGTGTCCTTAAATTGTTTCACAATTTAAGGACACTGATACAAACAAAAGGAAATCAAGAGAAGAGTGCTCAGCACTGTTCTCAAAACAATATGCAACTCTTTAGAAATTGTTTTGTTTGATACACCTAGATATTCAACGAGAAAATACAAAATTTTTTCTTGCTTCTTATCTTGATTTGATGACATTTCAATTAAAACCAATTGTTTTGATAACAGCGTTATTTAAATTTTGAATAACACTAATACAATGACATTTTAAAACAATTAGCTATTTAAAATTATGCATTCCGTAAACACCACATCAGAACATGCGCAGATTTTTTCTGGTAGATGTCTTATCTAACAAGATTTTTTAAAGGTTTCAACTTCTTTTTATAATTTATGTAATATATTATGCGATTTTGTGTGTTTTGTTTTTTTATTAAAAAGGAAAGACTATCTGAGAGTTTTTTTTGCATAAACTGGTTGAGCTCTTGCAGAGCTCCTGAAAGCAGAATGAACTTTGTACACAGAAAGCAGTCTATTCTATTTCCAGGCAGTGCAAGAACCTTTGCGCTGCCTAGGACAGCAACCCTGATTGGTACCCCTTTTTTTCAAAATGCTATATTATCAGTTAATGAAGTTTTTTTTTTTAGGTGTCTACTTTATATTTGGCACCCCTTGGCACATCTATTCAAATTTCTGCTGTTACTTTTCTATTAAATTGTGTTAGTTATTTTTAGCAATAGCCACTAGAATTAGAAGTTGAATTAAAAAGTGAATCGGAAGTTTTACTAAAACTGAGCTCATTTTTATAATTTAACTCTTTTGATTGCACTTTTGGTGTTCTTTATTTCTTTCTCTTACTCTCTGCTTCCTCCAAGAAAAAATTTAATAATAACTGAAATAATAATAAGAACATCTTCCAAAATTTTTAGTTGTAAAGTTTAACTTTTCTACTAAAATTAATACCTAAATATGAACTTTCTTACTCCAACCAATTCTTCCAAAAACTTCAAACCTTAAAGCTTATCAAGATGGATCATTTTTTATGTCTTAATTTTCTATGCCTTACATGTTTTTCAAATTGGATAATCTGCTAAATATTAGCTGAGCTTCTTTTTTTATTATTCTTTAGACAAGAATACTGATTGTCTAACTATGTTTTTTAGTTTAGTGTCATTAACAACATCAAACCTTAGCTTTATCCAAGACTTTTTTGACAGTATGTCAAAAAAGTCTATTACCCTTCGATGATTTTTCAATTAAAACTAAAATTAAATAAAAATTAAGGTCACGAGGTCACAAGGCTTAAATTAATGTTTTTTTTTCTAATATTGAATTTATATCAAAAAACATTTTAATAACAAGAAATTAATATTCTTATGCTTAAAACAAAAACTATCCACTAAATTAGAAAAAGTGTAAGTCAAAAAAGTGTATCACCCCTTAAATAAGTTAAACAAGATCGAGGATTATCTGCAAGCTTTGGTGCAGATAATCCTCGATCTTGTTTAATTTTTCGAATAATTTCTCTATCATTGTGTAAGGTAGTCTTAGCTGGGCATCCTCTTCTTGGCAAATTTTTTACAGTGCCCATTTTTTATATTTTCTAATGATATTTCCTGCACTATTGGGCTTGACATTTACTATTTTAGAAATAGTTTTATATCCACTTTTATAGTGCCTCAGGATCAATTTTTTTACTGATTCATGAACTTCATATCTTTTCACCATGATTTTTTTATTAGAAACCTAAAAAGAAAACAAACTTTGCTAAAAAATTAGTTAGAATAACTTCTATCAATCAAATTTGTTTATTTTGGCTTTTTTTCTGCAATTTTACTCAAATTTTAAGTCGAACAACAGAAAAGTTAAAAAATGATTAGGGGGTGACACTTTTTCTAATTTAGTGGATAATTTTTGTTTTAAGTATAAGAACATTAATTTCTTGTTATAAAAATGTTTTTTAATATTAATTCAATATTAAAAAAAAATTGAGGTCAAAAATCTAAATTTAAGCATATAAAAATTTGTTTTTATTGAAAAATCATCAGGGGTGACTTTTTTGACATACTGTAAGCTTGATGTTGTAAAATATCTGTGTAAGAAGTTGAATCTTTAAATATAAGTTTTTATTGAGATCATTTAAATTAAACTCTCTTTCTTTCTCTATATATAAATATATTAAAGTAGGTTTCTTAAAAAATAGAAATTACCTAATTTTCCCTGAATTAAAAATAAACAATTTTTTTATTAAATCTCACCTTAAACATTTTTTTATTGCATTTTAATACTAACTAATAATAAACTTTAATATTTGTTATTAAAGCAAACAATAATTTGTAAATCTTATCAAAGCGAAACTGCACTGCTTATATAATATATGTTAAGGTTCTTTATGCAATATGTTTTTATATTGTAAATTGTATAAATAACATATTATATCTTAAACATAAAGTATATCCATATGGTCTTTTATAAAAATTGTAAAATTATAGAAGTAGCAATAACAAATACTTTTTTATTCCAAAATAGTTATTAAAAATACATAAAACGAGTAATTTTTAATCTGACTCAGATGAAACACATTTCTAAAAAATTTTATAAAATTTAAATAAAAATGTTTTAATTTAATTTTTGTAAAGGTTTTAAAACCAACACCGCACCACGTGATAATTAAACTTCAGTTTAAAATGTAAATTATATTATTCTTAAGGGAGGAAAAAAAACCATACCTTTTTAATTGAAAATTCAGATATTTATTCAAGTCCTAGAAAAAAAATTTTTTTTTAAATATTTGTAATAGTCTTGCCCTCAAGACACTAAAAAAAAAACATTTTTAGTCATTTTGAGGTCCTTTATTTTCCATATATGCCCTTTGAAGGCAAGGAAAGAGTAATTTAATGGTGCTCAAATTTTTTGGGAGTTAGTTAAATATATTTACTTCAAATCTAGATGGTTTGGTTTTTTGAATTCAGAACACCCATAATTATTAAAATCTAACCATAATATATATATGTATATATATATATATATATATATATATATATATATATATATATATATATATATATATATATATATATATATATATACACAAATAGTATCGCGTACTAAGGTAAGCAATCTGATGTCATACTGAAATAACCTGCTGCCGGGAGCTTCAGTACATACATCGACTGACAAATAGCCTGACTCGCAGTCGAGTGCTGCTACATCGACTAAGGGTTTGGGATGGGGCAGCAATTGTTTCATTCATCATTCTTTGTTTTTTTTTTCTTCTTTTTCTAAAAAAGTCGTATGGATTAAGGTAAGCAAAAAAAAGTGAGCAAATGCTTACAAAAATACGCTTTAGTAAGTGTATATATATATATATATATATATATATATATATATATATATATATATATATATATATATATATATATATATATATATATATATATATATATATATATAAAATTATGAAAAATTTATAAACAAGGTGTTAAGCATATTAAATGAACAAAAGCTAAATTTTGATTCTTTCTGAAAAATGATGCACAAAAAGTTCTTTAAGAAATTAACTTGAGTTTAAATATTGCCATTTTTTTATTTAAATATGACATATTAAAATAGTAGGTCATATTAAAAATCAAAAACAACTTTTATTACAATAAATATTTTTTTTCAAAAGTTAAATGCAACAAAATTTTTCCTAATATCTTGGTTATTTATAACTTTGTTTTTAAATGTTCTATTACTTTATATTAAACTCTATAAAACATTAATGTGTTGTATCTTGAAAAAGATTACTAGAGATTCCAAAAAAAATAAATATCTCATTCTAAACTAATTATTGTGCATTTTACTTCAGAGAGAAAAAACATTTTATGTTTAAAACCTTAAAAAAAAATTTTTTTTTTTTGATATGATTAAAATATAATTACTTCTATTTTGGTTTGGGAACTTTGCTGATATGGAGGTGTTGGACGTAACCTTGTAAAACTCCATTCTTTCTTTACAGGTTGTCTAGCAGTTGCTTTTATAGCTGAAACTGCATTTGCCTGTATGAAAAAAGATTACATTTATAAAAATCTGCAAAATTGTCAAATAAAAATAAAATTGACTATAGCATCAGTAAAAAAAATCAAATTTAAAGCATATCTTTATTGAAAGTCTAAAAACATCAACAAAACACTATACCAATTTGAATTAAAAAAGATAAAGATATCCTTTATAAATATGTCAACTGCATTGAGAGGTAAATAAAAAACTGATTTGAATGGTTCATGATCAGAAAGTTAAAAATTTGAGTTCAGTGCAAGATAAAAAAATTTATATTCTGATGTTTTTAGTTATTATTTTAGGATCAAATTAATGATTTTTAGTACCTTGTATGGCTCAACTGATGAAACAGTATTAACAACTGTATCTGAAGCTTTATAAGATCCAACTGCCGCACCAGTACTGTAACTTCTTAAAATCGGTTTTTCATCAATTTCTACACCTTCATCACTTAGTGGTAAAGACTTCACCTCAGATCTTTTACTATCACTTCTTTCAAGTTTTGAAGCTGCTAGTTTAGGAGTTTCTGGTTGAATAGCTAGATCACATCGATCTTTTAAAACTTTCTTTAATGCGTGCATCCAAACATCTTTTTCTCGAGGAGAGCTTGTCATGACACGCCATTTATTATTTGATACTAAATATTTATTTAGAATAAAAAGTTATGACTAATGTAAATTAGAAAAATTATAAAAAAAAAAATCAGAAAATTCATAATTAAAAAAAAAAATTAGAAAAGTCATGATTAAACAGTTTTTCTAAAAGATAAAAAAAAAACTTTTTTCAAAATTAAAAACTGTTAACTTTAGTTAGTACACTTCTTTTGCAGCCTAGGCTTAATGAGGAAAGAGAAGAGTGGGTTTTAAGACAGATAATACGTATATTGTAGACAAAAGTATGTCATTAAAAGTTATTTTAAAGGTTTTTTGTTTCTGTTTCATAAAATCTTTTTGTAAAACAAAATGTTTTATAAAACATTTGCATGGCTTTTACGCATTAAAAGTTTGCACTCAAAGACAAAAATAATTTGTTTTAAAAACATCTTAAGCTACTCTAAATTTGTTTTTTCTGCCAACTGGGTAAATTCTACTCTAAATTTGTTTTTTCTGCCAACTGGGTAAATTCTACTCTAAATTTGTTTTTTCTGCCAACTGGGTAAATTCTACTCTAAATTTGTTTTTTCTGCCAACTGGGTAAGTTCTGTTTTTCTCATGATAACTAGAGGACTTTGAAAATCTTTTGATATGTTTTGCAATGCATGTGGATATTATATTGGTAAAACACAGACATAATATAAAATATTAAATGTGGATAGCGTATGTGTAATATTTTCAATTGCCTATGGGTGATCAGGACAAACCATGGGACTCTCATGTGATATGTGGAACATCCCGAATTACTTTAGCAGGATGATTGCATGGTAGAAAAAGGGCATTGCTTATACATGAAATATTTACTATGCATACAAGGCTACCGTTATTTATGTCTATGTTGAAGTTGCTGTATGTTGTTTTTTCATTCTTTTATGAAGCAAGATGTAATGAATATTTCATGTGTGTACCAGAAATCACATTTTATAAATACCAGAAATGGCTTTTAGACTTTGAAACATTACAATGACTTGTGTAATGATTTACATTAGTGTAAAGATGTGACTGGTTTGTTTACTTCTATTAGACTTGAGCATGATCCTGCACAATGGCGAATGTTTATAGGTATATAGGTATAGGCTTATAGGTTTATAGGTAATATTTATAATGTGAATGTTCATATAGATAACAAATAACAAAAAAGACATTTTTTTTTTACATATAAAAAAAAAAAAAGCTTCTTTGATTTTTGATTGTTCTGGAATCGAAATGAAAATGTATTAATTTTGTGTAAATAAGAGTTTTGTGTAAATACTTTTGAGATTAAACAAGATTATACATCTTTCTTTGAAATACTCTTAAAAGGTGGTTTATGTTGGTATGAAACCCAAGTTTACAACTTCTACTGATTTTAATTGTTCTATCGAGTATTTGATAAGACTATGTGTGAATTTGATTTTTTATCTTTATTAATGTTTAGAACATTAATAAGCAAAGGACAATTTACTTTTAATGAATGTTTAAAATATACATACTTGATTTAAATTATTGTGATTTTTTTACTTATTTAAAAATATCAGTTTCCATGTAAATGTAAACAAGTAAATAATTATGTATTAAAAAACTAATTTATTATTTGTTTTAACATTTATTTATATTTTATTTTATTATATTTTTTAATTTGTTTCAACAAATTAACATTTACCATAAAAAAATACATAATTATATATATATATATATATATATATATATATATATATATATATATATATATATATATATATATATATATATATATATATATATATATATATAAACAAAACAGTTTTACTTATTAGTAACTTAACTTAAATTTACTTAACAGTACTTATTATAAAAAAAAAAAGATTTTTGATAATATTAAAGCTTAAAAGATCAAAATTATTTAACTGTAACGACTTACTAAAATATTTTTCTTTTTTTTTTTTTCAATAAAAATTTTATCTTTTTAAAAGTGTTAACATTAATTATTCTTATATTAAAATAAGCTAAAGAGACTTTCGTTGTCGTAGAAAGTCATCGTTTTTAAAATTTGCATTTATAAATTATTTATATATCGAATTTATATTTTATAATGCATTTATATTTATATTTTTTGAAAAAAGAAAAATGTTTTTTTTGAAAAGCTGCGGTCAAATCATCAGAGCAAAATGTGCTTTTTAAACAAACATTAAATGTAAGTTGTTACTTTATTTAAATGGGTTTCGCATAATTCTATTTTATAAAAATATTAAAAATAAACAACTCAAAGTTATTTATTCCAAACGTAATTTTAAAAATAATATTTTTAAAATAAAATTAAGCTTTAATTCTATTTTTCTTATTTTAGTTTTGTTCAAGTTATTTTTATTTTATTTTTTGTTATTTTTTTTATGAAGATTTGTTTGCTTCTTTTATTATAAGTTTTTTTCAAGTTAATTACTTTCCATCGGACGTCTTACATGTGGACGTCCATTGGATGTCTTACAGATGTCTGGACATCCAGCGGATGTCCTCTGGACAACACTGGGACATAAAAAAATATATTTTCGAGCTTACTTCTTGTTACATAGTAAAAGAAACAGAATTATCAAATCAAAGATCTTTGACTTTTTTTAAATTACTCTTTTGAGAAAAATAACACTTTTTGTTTAACTTTTTTTTTTTAACCTATTCTTTCATTACTTTCTGATTTTCTTTAGTATGACTTTTAAAAAATTGTTAACAGACTTTGTTGTTTTTTTGTAATTATATTATAAATAGTTTGTAATCAAAAATTTTACATTAGTTTTTTTTTATCAACTTAATAGCTATTTAGCAAAAGTTTAAATATTTAATTTTAACTGAAGATAAAAAATTTATTTAAAAATCAAAAAAAGTTTATCAGTGTGTGTGTGTGTAGAAAAAAATCAATATAAGATTTTATCAGTAACCTATTAGTTCAAAGCCATTAAAAAATGTATCCGTATCTTCTATATTCCGAGCACTAATACCAACTATTGAGTGACGCTCCTAAATAAGAAAAAAAGAATTTATTTTAAAATATATTACCAAAAAATGTATTCACAAAAAAAAATGTTATGATGTTAGTTGTACAAAAAAATATGTTATGATGTTAGGTGTACTAACAAAATATGTTATGATGTTAGGTGTACTAACAAAATATGTTATGATGTTAGGTGTACTAACAAAATATGTTATGATGTTAGGTGTACTAACAAAATATGTTATGATGTTAGGTGTACTAACAAAATATGTTATGATGTTAGGTGTACTAACAAAATATGTTATGATGTTAGGTGTACTAACAAAATATGCTATGATGTTAGGTGTACTAACAAAATATGTTATGATGTTAGGTGTACTAACAAAATATGTTATGATGTTAGGAGTACTAACAAAATATGTTATGATATTAGGTGTACTAACAAAATGAAAAGCTTTTTATACTTCAAACCAGCAACTTTTTTTCAATATTTTTTTTTTTTTGTTACAAAAAAACTTGAGAATCACATAAACAGATGTTTAAGAAACTGGATAAATGAGACTTAAAAAATAGCACTTATAAAACAGCAGTTACAAACAAATCTTTATAACAGTTATCAATAAACAAAAGCTATTTTTATGAACCAAGATTCTTCAAGATATTTCAATTGTAAAAACTTGAAAACCCTGTTTAAATACACTCCATGCCTTCTCATGTTTATGGTCATTTGCATTGTTAAATTGTGAGTTTTTTTGGTTTTTTGTTTACATTGTAATGACAACTCTTTTAAAATTAGAAAGGTGAGCATAAGGAAAAAAAAACAACTGGATTATCTGGTTTATTATTTTTTAGCTTTATGTGAAGATTTATAACTTTATGTTATAAAAAAGAAAACAACTGTTCTTAATGAACATCTCATATTGTCATGCATGCATATATTTTATAAAAAATTGTATTAAAAAAAATATACAATAACTATAATGTAATATTTTATTCAAGTTAAAACTTGGATGTCATTAATGGATGCATGTCTTTAACAATAATAAAGATAAAACATGCAAAATATGCGGTAGTGATGTAGTAGTAGCGCTGGTCTCATAAGCAAGAAGTTTCAAGTTCAACCCCCACCAAGTTCCTGGTAGTACCGTGCTCAACTTGTTTCTTTGTGCAGCGGATTTATTTGTTGAGGTTTGTGTTTTGGAGTTATAGAGTTGAAAGGTTGTAACCACAAAAGTAGCCTCCTCGACTGTAGTGGCCTTCTTTGTCTTGGGGAGGTGAATAATAAAATAATAAAACTAAATTAATTGCTAGGTACTAATATATTCAACATTCATTTATTTTATAATAAAACTAGAAAAAAAGTTTTCTAACAAGAATTGATAAGCTTGGTGTTTAAAAAAAATATTTCAAAACAATTAAAACAAGCTCTTTAAGTGACGGATTAACAAGAGTTACAATAAGTTTAGAGTACTAAATAAATAAATAAACTTACTATAAGTTTAGATTATTGTTTAAATATTGAGATTTAAATAAACCTACTCTGCTATAAATTAAAATTTAACTTAACAGGGTTTTACAAGAAAAAAATTTAACAATCTTAACTAATCTAATATTTTGAAATTTTTACTTATACTACTCATCTTTGGAGAACAATTTTACGCACGTAATATTTTCTTTACATACACACCTCTTTCTTTACACACATAACTCTATCTTAAAGTAACAGGGAACATATATAAAGCATAAATTATCATATTACATAAGATTTAATCCAAAAAATTTTGGTTTTTAAGACATGCTTTTTTTTTTTGTAATTCTAAGTAATACAAAAAACAAAATACTTAGTAATACAAAGTTATGTATAAATAAATCAATAAAAATAAGAATTCAACTTTTCTTACCTCGAAACAATAACCAACTAAATCAATACCAACTGAAACAACAACAAAATCATTTGGAAATAGACAAAAATATCTTTCTCTGCGAGCTAGTTCTTCTTTCTCAATAAAAACTTGACCCATATGAACAAGAGTACCAAGTGAGGTTATATGCTATGTGGTAAAATTGAATTTATATTTTAAAAATAAGCAAAATGAACAACTAGCTGCATGTAGTATTATATTTTTTAGATATGTTATTAAAATATACATGTAAAAACTATTTAAAAAAGACTTAGAAGTTATATTTTTGCTTCCACATTTCTCCATTTAAAATTGAAATATTTTTAAGTTCATGAACCAGTAATTTTTGATAGATATAAATCTATCAAAAATTACTGGTTCATGCTTTTATGTTAGATAGTTAAAGATTACAGGTGCAATAGAGATTTGTTGAACAATAGTTAATTAATATAAATTAAAACCCTAACTCTTATGTACCAAATTAATGGTACATGAGAGCTAGGTTCTCAAACAGGATCCTGTGGGTGAAAGTGACAGTGGGATATCATGGGATATGGCTAGTAGGGTAGAGTAGGGTATATCGGGACAGTGGGGCATAATGGGACAGTTATGCCTAAAGCTTTCTCAGCTGAAAATTTTTTTTTCAACTTTTTTGATAAAACATTTTAAATTATTGTTCTTCATTATTGTAAAAAAAAAAAATAATTTTAGAAGTACCAAAATGCATTAAAAGTACCAAAATGCATCAGTAAGTTTGCGAAAAACAAAATTTGCGTATTTTCTTAACCGATACAACAATAAAAGATTTATCTTGAACTATTGCTAATTTGCTTTATTTATAAAAAGTTTATATTTTTCAGACTTTTTTTATCTTCTTTTTGAACCTGGTTTTAAAAAAATATTTAAGATTAAACTTTTTGAATAGTATTAATTTCAGTAAAATGACTTTTGTGTGGCTTTTATCGGGACAATAAGTTTTGTATAATTGACTATATTACTACCATTTCATAAAGCTGTTTGATGATTTTATTTTTAATCTAAAATATTATTTTCCTAGTTAAGCAATACTAGTAATAAATTCAGAAGTTCTTATTTTTATATCTTAACCTGGGATATTTAAGTTTACTCTATATATTGCTAATAAATAAGCCAGCTCATCAAAAATGTTGCCAAATAGTTTCAGAATATTATTTGTGTGATTTACCTGATACATAATATTTTTTGTTTAACTTTAAATTTAGTATTAGTTACCAATTCAATAACAGATAATATTTAGAGTTGGTAGAGCCAAGTTATTTTATAATACAACACAAAATATTTACTTTATTTAGAGTTACTTATTATTTAGAGTTGGTAGAGCCAAGATATTTTATAATACAACACAAAATATTTACTTTATTTTAGTTTCATAAAGAACTTAATCTGATATTGGGCATAAAAACAAGGTGGGATAGTCTTGTTGCAATGCTAAAAAGATGTATGTAAAAAGATATATATTAAAAGTAATGATTAACTTTATGATATCCTCAATATTTTGGAAGAAGAATATGTAACTAATAAAAGTTGGAATAGAAAGTCTTATCAAAAGTAATGCTACTCTACTTGACACAGAAGGTGTATTGATATTTATCTTAAACAAAAGATAATATAATATTGGCTGGAAATAACTTCATTCCTAACAAACTGCTTCAATCTGTGCAGCCGAGAACTTATTTAACTCATTCACTTATAATCACAACTGATATTATTAAATATCAATTCAAAATTAATCAGTAATAAACAAAGTTAAAGTTTGTATAGAAAGTCATTTGCAATTACAAAGTTGTAAGAGGAATTATTATAATTGTTAAAAGAGTAATTGGGGTAACAATAAAATTAGCGTAACGATATAATTAGCGTAACAATATAATTGGGGTAACAATATAATTAGCGTAACGATATAATTAGTGTAACAATATAATTGGGGTAACAATATAATTGGGGTAACAATATAATTAGCGTAACAATATAATTAGCATAACGATATACTTGGCGTAACAATATAATTGGTGTAACAATATAATTAGCATAACGATATAATTGGCGTAACAATAGAATTGCTTGTGAATAATTGTATATATACATATTTAAGATATAATTGTAAATATCTTGGGAATTCAGTTCTATATAAATTGTTAAATTTCACAAAGAGATATCAGCGTTTTAAGCATAATTGACAACAGTTGTTTTGTTTATGAAACTTTTTGTATGTGAAACTTTATAATCTTATCTTATTAATTCAAAATTAATCCCTCCATTAAATGCAACTTAATGCATTAAAAGCAAAGAAATCTTATACAAGGTTATATATAGAAAATGCCAAACAAATATAAACAGTAGGTCTGGAAAACTTTTCTATTTAAAAACTTTATAAAAGAAATTAATTTTTTGAGGCAACTGGAAAGAAGTAAATAATGTTCAAACAACATATACTCATAGACCAACACAATTTAAATCAAAAAAAAGTTTTTCTGCAGCAAAACTTTGTTTAAGATTAAATGATGTACCAATTGATTGATTAATTATTTTTTTCTTAAAATAATTTTTTAATTACAAATTATTTAGATTAGTTTGCTAATACAAATTTGTGCTAAAAAACGCTTGTTTATGATTTTAGATAAAATAAAAATTATGCTGGGATCCTGTGAAGTCACTGGAAAAGAAAATTACACACCAGGAATCTAGGTATGCAAAATTACAAAAAATGAAAAATTTTAATGAAAGCTTTACTTAAAGATGGTGAAAGCGTTATTAAAAGATAATTAGCAATTACTGGCATATGAGAACATTGCTGAAAGATAATCAAAAACTACTGGTACATAAAGACTTTTAGAGATATGGACCTTCACAAAGATATGAACCTTCACAGTATGAACCTTCACAAATATTCACATATGGTCCTTCATAACTATATTCACATATGAACCTTCACAAAGAATTCATTTAAAAAATATTTCAATTATTTATCCATTTTAGACCGATGAGATTATAATACAAATTATATTCTATTACAATACATATATTGGCTTCAAATATTCTACAATTTTAAAAATGTTTTTTTGGTTGTTTTTATTTGAACTATTTAACACACATAACATAACACAGCTAATTATAAATAAACCTCTACTTGTGTACTTGTGTACCTAGATTAAAAACCTATATTAAAAAACATACCTCTCCTTGCCAACCTTCTATTGTTCCAGTGAGTATTTCTAGTTCAGTTTCTTTCTTTTTTCTAACTTCATGGCAACTTAACTAAATAATTTATTAATGTAAATATGATACTGTAATTATCTGTTGCTAATGTATAAATGTAAAAAAAAAAATAACAACAAAGAATAAAAAAAATTGTAATTAAACAATTTTATGTGAAAATGAACAATTTTAAATATAAAGAAAAGAGTAAAAAAAAAGAAAAAAAAGTAAACTAGTAAGTAAAAAGAAAGCTAGAAGATTGGTTGTTGCTATAATTTCTTATTAGTGTTGTATTACTGTTATATTATTGTATTGTTATTATGTTCTTGCTTGTGCTTTCTTCATACTTGAAATTTGTTTCTTTATTATTAATTTTTTATTGTACTAATTTTTCATATTGCTATCAAAGTTTATCTTTGATAACCGACACTACTTGTTACCTAAATTTTGTATTATTAAATTGTATTTTTACAGTACTCATTTTATTTCTATTTAATCACATTTTAGCTATCACATATACACTTTTTTCTTAAAAAAACATTTGAATTTTTAGTCTTTCCCTAAAAATATAACAGATAGCCATTAGTTTGAAATGTTGAAATGTTTTCCAAAGTAATGGCAAAACTGAAGATAGGGTGGTTTGTTTTTCCCCATTAAATAATTTCCTCTAGAACATCAAAAAGCAAATTAAACATGCAATTATTAATAAACTTGCAACTGTTCAAGATGTCTCTGAATCTGATCTTGCTAAATCAAACAGCATAGAAGTTTTAAAGGAGATTAAAATCAAAGCTGACAACTTAACTTTTGGTTGAATGCATGAAAAAGAATTTCTAACAAAAAAAAGCAACTTTGGGGACCCCTAAGTCAGAAATACAGCAATGGAGTTTACAATTTCCAAATTCAAAAATCAAAAGGCAAACTTGTTATGCAACAAAAAAGACATCATAGCCTGATGTGGTTGAACAACATCAAATCAATTTAGCACTTGTAGAGATTTTTACTGTGTGATTTAAGAAAAATGTAAAAAAGACTTTGTATTTGAAAAAACAAATTATATAAAAGAAAAATTGGAGGCATCTTCTGCTTACGTAATTTTATATGATTTGAACCATGTAAAATTAGTCATGCATTAAACTGTTTATAATGTAAAAACTAATCATTGTCCCACAATTACATAAACCATTTCATCTGATGACTGTGCACCAAAAAATAAAAATATTTTTACAATTTATGCTGAAGATTTATTTGTTCAGTGCTCTAGAACTTCTTTGTAATAAGACATTGCAAATAGCCACATGATGGTACAGGTGTTACTGTAAAAAAGTTTTTTGGCACTGCTAGATTCAGAGTTTAACCACAAGTTAAATACTGTCTGCTGAAATAATACTGCTTGAATACTGTCAAAATGAGCTCATGTTTGTGTACACTACTGTTGAATAAGACTAGTATGAAAAAACTTATAACAGTTACTGGAACAGGAACAGGAAGTTTCCATTAATCTTTATCAAGAACATAAAGTTTTCATCAAAAGTTCACACTAGAGTTCAAAACTTACACCTTCAATCTTAAAGATAAAATGATGAATTTGCTCTAACATTTGACGTCCTTAATTTTTTAACAATTGAATCCCTCAATTAAAAAAATATGAAATTATTTGAATAAACTATGTTATGATATCACAATACCTATTTTTTAAAAACAACTAACTTTACTGGCTTGGTATGGTCTCTGAAAATGATAAAGAGAAAAGTTTATGGGTCGACATTATACAAGTTGGTCATACTACTAGCCACTCCAGGATGATAATTGTTGGGTGTCAAGAATAATGTTTTTCTTGTTAAAATATTGTCAATATTTGTCAACACCACAGAAGAAGTATATATTAGAAGATAAATTTCTAATCAAACAGTTTTTGTCTCATTAGTGAAAGTTTCCCCATTTATTATTTAAAAAAAATTATTTTATAGTTTTAATGAATCTTTTAATATAGGACTGCTAGTACTTAGATGCAACTTTACAACCAAATAAGAAGGAAGTCAATGTGTTGCTAAACTTTTTTGAATGCTATCTTTTGAGTGTGATTTCAATAAGAAACTTATTTCACTGAAAGATTTTTCATGCTTTTATTGTGTATATTTTATGTTAACCAAAGTTCAACTTAACAAAAGTTTACTTTAGTTGAACATTTCTTGGACCATTTTCCTTGGTCCATTGTACGTTCAAATTATTGGGATTTAACTGTACTTTTTAACACAAAATTTGAGATTTCTATAAGGTAACTCTTACTAAAAACCATGACCTTAAGGAAGCATTTAAAAAAATGCAAGCAACTAAAATTTGCACAAAAAACAGAGCACTTTAAACTGAATTTCAAAACACCATAACTTTTGAATTGTTTGGAAGGCTAGGTTTTGCATTTATATCTTGGAGAGCTTTCCAGCCTGATTCATTAATAAAGGTATTATTATTTTATTTGATATACTTATTAACGTGTATTAATTTATTATTAATAAGTTTTAGAACTAAATACCATTTATATATTTTTTATATATATTATTTTTTATAAGATATTTTTACTCACACACGTTAATAAGTATATCAAATAAAATAATAATACCTTTATTAATGAATCAGGCCGGAAAGCTCTCCAAGATATAAATGCAAAACTTAGCCTTCCAAACAATTCAAAAGTTATGGTGTTTTGAAATTCAGTTTAAAGTGCTCTGTTTTTTGTGCAAATTTTAGTTGCTTGCATTTTTTTAAATGCTTCCTTAAGGTCATGGTTTTTAGTAAGAGTTACCTTATAGAAATCTCAAATTTTGTGTTAAAAAGTACAGTTAAATCCCAATAATTTGAACGTACAATGGACCAAGGAAAATGGTCCAAGAAATTTTCAACTAAAGTAAACTTTTGTTAAGTTGAACTTTGGTTAACATAAAATATACACATTAATTAACTTTTTAATTTATTATTAATAAGTTTTAGAACTAAATGAATATTTTAATATAAGACTATAAATTATTATATGACAAATAATAAAAAACATTTACAGACATATAAATGCTTTTTATTATTATAAGAAACAATTCAGGACTTTCTTTTAATGTAAAAATTACAATTTTCTTCATTAAAAGTCATTCTAAACTTTCCAACATTTTGTTTTACTGATGAGACAAATTTAGTAATTTTCAATTCTATTGACCAACCAACAGTTTAGAAAAGTAACAATTGGTCTTCTGGCGCCCCTAATATTAGATATTAGGGGCGCCAGAAGACCAAAGACAAAAAAATCCAAATGAGATTTTAATTACAAAAAAGTAAAAAAATTATTTTTATTGAGGAGGCGCAACAAATATTTACTTACTTTACTAAGCACAAGGGGCATGTATGCCCCTTTTTCCCCTCACTCTTGGTGGCTCAGTGTATGATTTGTTCTTAATTAATAAATTAAAATTGTACACTAATATTTACTAAAGAAATTTAAGAAATTTAAAAAAAAGTTTTTTCGAGTTATAAATTTTATTACAAAATAATATATACTTATATTCTTACATAAAATAAGTATAAATAACTAAAATAAGATTTTTATATAACTATTCTTATAAATTTATATATTTTTATAATCTCCAAAAAAAAAACTTTTTTATCAAAATTTAGCAACTTCGAAGCCTTGGCGCTTGGGTGAAAATCAGCCATTGTATGGGCCTTCCGTGGGGCCTGTACATACATATATGTACACATAAATATAAAACTTATTAAAAAAACAAAATAAACTTACAGCAATAATTTGTAAAACTTGGGTGGCTTTTTTCATATCCAAACTATCAATGTTGCATTCCTGCATTAGATATTTGTAAAACAAACATACAATCCTATATACTTAAATTTGTTTTTATATATAAAATTTAATAACTTTAAAAAACAAATAGTCAATAAAACTTTAGTAAAAATTGTCAATGTTAAGAACAAGTAATTTTAAATGTAAAATTTAACAGTAAAACAACCTCAACATGTCTTTCAAGTTCTTTTATTTGGTTTCCATATTTCTCAACATGCAAAAATGGCTATAAACATTCAAAATATATCGAATAAATAATGTATATATTTTTTACATTCATTTGTTTAACCATAAAAATATATAATTTATACTTATTATTATTTTATATTACTTATTATTATTATTATTATTATTATTATTATTATTATTACTATTATTAATATTATTATTATTATTATCATTAAGTTTTTTCACTTAAAGCAAATACATGATTGTTTGTAAAGGTTTTCTATTAATAGTTTTGTATTTACTTATTAATTACAAATCTCGCATTAAATGCGTTTCAAAGTAATGAAAGGGATTTTTTGACGAAGGATTACATTTCACCACTTAATGCTAGCAGTATTTGCTGAGCAGACAGCCCTTATATTTTTTCAATTTTTTTAATTTATGAGTTCTTATCCGTAAAAATTTTGAAACTTTTGTTAATCACTTTTTATTGTTTTTTTGATCAAAATATTAATAATATTTTGTCAATAATTATAAATAACTACATTAAATCTATAACATTACTCAGTTATAAAGATTATATCAATTTATTTATAACTTTAGTTTAAGTTCTTGGTAGAAACATGTTATCTTTACACATTGCTATTGTATTTTAAAACATCAAATTTAAATATGACTTATAGTAGAGGTAGAAATATAATTAGATTACTATATTATATTTTGTTTTATTTACTTACACTTTATTTAAGATAAGTTTACACTTTATTTAAGATAAGTTTTATTTACTTACACTTTATTTAAGTTTTTCTGTGTGTGCTATTAGTAATTAAAGTATGAAAAATAAACTCTGGATAACTCAATAACCCTTAACTTAAATTAATTTTAAAATTTCATTTGAACCTTTATTTATGGATTATACTGCCAATAACTCTAGCATTCTCTAACAAGCTAATTCCTTGGTCCCCTTTAAGGTTTGAGCCATTTAAAGTTTACTTTAATGTGTTGTGTTATTTGTTAATTTTGTGATGTTATTGTTGTTTTATTTTGTGATGTTATTGCTTTTATAAAAAATATCAAACAGATAAAGCTAACTTATTTGAAATAACTAGATCTCTTGGCCCCATTTTTCAATGTCCAAATTTGTTTTTTAAATAAATCCTGATAAGAAAGTTAAAATATTATTATCAAAGCCTAAGTTACCAAAAATACCCAAATGTTATGCAACTGTTTTATATATTAAAGATACTTTTGTTATGTAGAAAATTTTAAAGTAAGTAATAATGTAATAAGTAAAAATACTAAATAGTTCTAATGTATAGTAAATTAAAAAATAACCAGAAGGCAAAAACTTTAGGTAGTCAGTAAAATGCAAACTGCTTACTTTTTAGCGAACCAAGACATTTTAATGAGAATAACAGTCATGATATTTAAAACATTTACTCATCAATTTTTTAAATTAAATATAATGGTATTCAGTATATTTTATTTGAATTAAACTGTTTTCTTTAAAATTAATTGTAATTTAACAAGCAATAGAGTTATAGTTTGCATTTTACCAACTACAAAAACTTTAAATTGATTTATTTTTTGCCATTTACTAAAATTAATTAAAGTATAAAGATTAAATTAGGAACAAGCCTAGTAATAGTCGGGTGTGGATTAGACTTACCATGATCTGTATAGTACGGGTCATGACAGCTAGTAGTAATTAATTAATAAAGCAATAATAACACATATAAATTTTATTCTTTAAGTAATTAGTCAAACAAAATTTTATTACTTTCTGTTCAAAAAATACTACTAAGTTTTTTAAAAATATTCATACTAACTCCTTTAAACATATCCATACTATAACTTTTAAACATATCCAAACCCAATCCTTTAATCTTATCTATACTAAGTCCTTTAAACATATCCATACTAAGTCCTTTAAACTTATCCATACTAACTCTTTTAAATATATCCATACTAAGTGGATTGTGCGATAGTGGTAGAGTGCTCGCTTTATAAGAGAGAGGTTGCAAGTTTGATCCCCACCATGTCCCTGGTATTACCACGCTCAACTTGTTTCTCTGTGCAGCGACCTTGTTTTTCAAGGTTTGTGCTTTGGAGTTATAGAGTTGAGAGAGGGTTTATAACTACAACTAAGTAGCTAAATAAATAAAAAAATTTTTTGGGCTTAAAAATAGAGTTCAATTTTTAAGTTAACCACACTTTGCAGATTTTAGGGTTACCAATAAGAGTTATTCGAAAGATTCTTGATGCTCACCTTAGATAAGAGTGATCGCAAAAACATAATACCAGGTTTTTGTGCACCCTTAGATTCCATGTATGCACTGAGTTCATCTCTATAAGAAAGTTTAACATTTACATATTTCGCAAAAATAGAAAAAATATCATTAAAAAGAAACAAAAATATAAATGATCATTTATAAAAATTAAAATGTCCTTACGCATTCTGTGATATTATTATAGCTGCTTGGGGATGGTTTAAACAATATTGCAGATATAAACTTTTCATCTAATTTAAAGCAGAACAAAAAAAATATCAGTTTCAAAAACTGATATTAAATATTTTGCTGAAAAAAAAGCTGTTAACAGTAGACTTTTTTGTTGACAATTTTACATAAAATAATTTAGTCTAAATATTTTTGTGTTTAGGTCAACAACTTTATAACCAACAACAAGTTGTAAGAAGTAAAATTTTTTTTAACAAAAGGATATTTTAAAATTAACAGGTAAAAATTAAGTGGTAAATTCTGTTATAGTTATTCTGTTATAAACAGCCGAATTAATATGTAATTAGTAAATTAATTAAATTTTATATAACTTATTTTGCCTTTTATTTCATTTTATTATTATTTTGTCATTCATGGCATTTTTTTTTTAATCGAGAGATGTATTTTAAAAAAATGTTTATAAAAAGACTTTTGGAAAAACCATTTAAAACTCTAAAAATTTTCTTTAACTCTGCTTATCTTGGTTTAAATGACTTTTTAGGCTCTTAAAACAATCCGATTTAATCCAATCAAAATATAGTAAAATAGTTAAAAGAGTTTTGATTTATTATTTATCATTATTATTTGTCATTATTATTATTATTTGTCATTATTATTATTATTTTAATATAAGCTATTTTTCATGAGTTTTCAGAGAATTAAAAAATTTCCAACTGTACTTATTAAATAAAAGAATAAAAACTTAAGAGCTTAAAAAAAAGTGAAACTATCATTTACCTGCATCCGAACTAGTAAGAAACATTCACCAAATCGTTGTTTCTCAATAGGTTTTCTAAATACAAATTACATATCTTTTTTACAATGAGGAAACATAAGTGATATTTTACAATGAGGAAACATAAGTGATATTTTCTTATAAGACAATGTAGCATAACAATTTTCTTAAATAATTTAGACTTTTAATCGAAGTTTATAATTTAAGTTAAAAAATGCTTTCATTAAATAACAGATAACTAAAAATTGATTTTTTTATTCTCCTTTTTAAATCAATATTTTTTATTGGTAAGACAGCTTTTATAAGTATTTAAAAATGACTTTATAATATAATTGATTTTTTGAAGAATTAAAGCACTTTTCAGAAACTTTTAACTGATAAAACTTTTTGGTTCTGGCCAATTTACAATATTTTAGGCCGGAATGCCAGAATTTAAATTTTTACATTTTTTTTAAAGACATGTGACAATGACTGTGTAAATTAAATCAAAATATCATTGTCCTACATGGCAATGAAGAACTATTGCTAAACCTAGGTAAAAAATGCAAATTTCTTAACAAACACAGTGTAATTTTATTTGCAGTAATCAATTATGAAAGGATTTCTAGAAGTTTATGAATAATGTGGTGCAAAAAGAGTTGCTATCCAGTTACTTAATTAAATTTATATAATAGGTATCAATACTTTTTATTTTATAAATAATAATTATTTTTACTTTTTTGTACACATTTTAACATTTGTTAAAATTACAACTAAGGATGGCAAAAATCCTGGAAATTTTCAGTCCCAGGATTTCGGGATTGAGAAATTTGTGGATTGAATAGAAAAAAACGCGAATGCAATTGAATACTTTTTACACACTTATCAAACACTTAAAAATGATTAATTTAATGATAATTTATAAGTATTATAAGTATTATATAAAACAATACCTTAAAATGGTAACACAGTATAAATAAAAATTAAAATCAAAAAATAATATAAATATGTATGACGTTAAAAAAAACTTTCATAAATCACACATTTGAAAATTAAAATTAATGGATATAAAACTGGAATTAAAATTGCGCATACTTTTGGAAGCAAAAAATTCAAAATTAAATTAATGTATACCTTCTATTAAAAACTCTTGCTCTTTTTACCAGCAAGCGCTAAAACTTTATCTATTTTTATAATATACTAGTTTTAATATTATACTATATATTAAATAGTATTATATTAAAACTAGTTGGTTTGCTATATATATATATATATATATATATATATATATATATATATATATTATATATATAGCATATATATATATATGTATCTATATATATCTCTCTCTCTCTCTCTCTCTCTCTCTCTATATATATATATATATATATATATATATATATATATATATATATATATATATATATATATATATATATATATATATATATATATATATATATATATATATATATATATATATATATATATATATATATATATATATATATACCAACCCTACATTAATATGGTAAAGGTATAAGAAGCTCATTAGTTTTGCTTTATATAGCCTGCTTTATATAGTTTCTCCTAAACTATATAAAGCAGGTTATACAATTGGAAAAGCAACCAGCATAAAAACCTGCCCAAAAACCACAAATTTAAATTTCAATTAGACAAGTGGTTTTAAAATGTTAAGTCTCATAAGTATCAATTCCTTTAGCTTAGATCTGAAGAAGTATCAGGTATTAGATGTTAAAAAGTTAGTATCAAATGTCAGGTGTTATTATTTTAGACGTAGAAAAAAAGTTTTTATCATTTTAGACGTAGAAAAAGTTTTCAATATAATTGTCTCTATATCTTTATAGCTTAGAGATATTACAGTTGAATTTTTAAAATTCAATATAATTTAAAAAGCGCAAGAAAAATGAATTAACTAAAGTAGCGCAATAAAAAATATTATATTTTATTTCATTATTTTAATAAGACAATATAAATACTCAAATGGATCTTGCAAATTGTTATGTTCATTGCAAAATTTTTTTATGCAAATGTCAAGATGCTTGAATAAAGAAACGTGATGGTTGCGAAAGATGTTTTTCTGCCATTTTTTGCGTTGCTTTTGGTTTAATTATATCTGGATTAAACTTAACAAAAATCCGATTATACAACTTATAAAACTGGAGAATAAATAAAGTCTGAATAAAAATCGAGAAACAAAACCAAAACAAAAAACATAATAACAAAAACTCACTAAGTAGAGCGCACTAAACTTTGAGCGAAAAATTAAACTGTAGTGTAACTTCGAAAAACTTGGATTTGAGAAAATATCTCAATTTTACAACTATTCGAAGTTTAATTACCAAAGTCTTTTTAAATGATTTGTCACTCTCCTACTTGTTAATAATTGTAGAATTGTAGATTGTAGAAATTTTTATATATGATGATATTTCACAAAGAAGAAGAAAAATGAATGAACATAATAAAATAATAAAGAAGAAGAGAAACAAATAAACATAATAAAATAATTAAGATCATTCGTTTTTATAAAACAATAACTTAATATATAACATTTTTTATAACAACTACTTTAATTAATTAATAAATTATTAAATAGAAATTATATATAAAAAATTATTTAAAAAAAATGTTAGTTTTTTTTTTTTTTTGCAAGATGTTTTTGTCTTATTTTCGCTAAAAAAACCTGGCATGACGAATCAGAAAAATAAATATTCAAAACAAAAAATAATTTTATCAAGAAATAAAATTTTAATTTTTCAAAAAAGCCTGTGCAAGATTATCTAGGTGGGCGGTCTGCGTAACCCGCAAAAACGGGTTTAGACTGGCTATTTATAGCTTATGCACTCATTTATTCATGACAAAGCCTGTACATACATACATACATACATACATACATACATACATACATACATACATACATACATACATACATACACACATACATAAATACATACATGCATACATACATACATACATACATACATACATACATACATACATACATACATACATACATACATACATACATACATACCAGGCCTTGCCATAAAGCGTCGGGCGATGTGAATTTTACGTCGTCCAAGAGCGATTTTAAGAGTAGCTAGGGTTATTTGCGTCGCACAAAAAATTTTTTGTTTGAGTATATTTAAAGATGTTTTTGAGCAGAATTTTAATGAAGCAATTTTCAATTATTTTAACATTTAATAAAGTATTTTAAAAACCGCACGCAGTTGATATAAAAGTTTGAATTACAAAAAAATTAAATATGCTCATTATTTACAAGTAGAAAAAAATTCAGATTAAATTACAATAAAGAAAAAAAAAAAAAATTCAGAATAAAAAAAAAAATTAAATCTTTTTAAGCTAACATTTTAATAAAATTATTCAGCAATAGCAAAGTTGTCGATAAAATTGAACAAAAAAACTTTCTTTTAGTTTTAGATTTTTAACTTAAATAATTATTTTACGGGGGTTTGTTAGGTTTTAAAATTATTCCATAGATTTAAAAATATTTATTAACTGTTAGACGTATTTAAAGTATTTAAGAGTAATTTCGAGTAAACATTTTAAAAATTGGTAAGCGCAAATAAAAAAAAAAATAAAAGGATTAATATTAAAACGTATTCTACTTGATTCAATAAAAAAGTACAGCTATTAAAATTTTTGTAAAAAGTAACTCGAAAAAAATTACTTAAATAATCACAATCGCTTTTTTGTTAAAAGTTACCGAAACTCAACGAAGCACGCTCAAGAACAGCTGCTGAAAAATAGAACGTCAATAGTTTTTCGAATAATTTTTAATAACAGCGCTCGAAATAGTTTTTCAAAACTTGCCGATCAAATGTAATTTTTTGACAAAAACAGCTTATTTTCCCTTGAATTTTTCTAAATTTCCCTAAAAATAGCCGATCATTGATCGTTGATCAGCTGTTATTTCGAGCGCTGTAATAATAATTTTTTCGCTGAAATATGTCTTTTATACCTATAAGATTTTTATCTTATAGGTATAAAAGACTTTGCTTATGCACTCATAAAATTTTATTCATTTAGTCTAGACAAAACGTGTCAAACGTTGAGAACATAAATGTTTTTACATTTTAAAAAACAAAACATTCCCAAACATTTTTAAATAACAACATTTCTACATTAATGATTTAAAGTAGTTTTGCAGTAATTAAGTAAATTGGTGCAGTTAGTGTCGATAAATATGAAAAGCAAATAAAAAGAATTTAATGACGTCAAAAATCATGTTGCGCTTATGCATTGCGCAGTTTTTATTCATCACAAGGCCTGACATACATACATACATACATACATACATACATACATACATACATACATACATACATATATACATACATACATACATACATACATACATACATACATACATATACACATACATACATACACACATACATACATACATACATACATACATACATACATACATACATACATACATACATACATAATTAGGTAAAAAAGAATTGTCTAATTTATATTGAAAAACGAAAGAAAATTTTTTTTAGATATGATAAGTAATTTAGATATGATAAAGTAATTTCATTAAATTAGATATGATGAATTGTATTGAAGGTTTCTTATAAAAAGTCTCAAAAAATTGTTGTTAGTAGTTATTAGTTTTTTTATTTCTTTTTCTTTTTTCTTTTTAGTTATTTTGTGACTTTTAAATTTATTGTAACAAAATTTATATCTATTTTATAGTTTTATTTATTATATATCTATTTTGTATAGAGAGATTTTTTACTGCAATAATATGAGCAAAAAATTAAAAGTTTTATTGTCAAAATTGTTTAATAACTTTTTTTTGTTACTTTGCTTTTTAATTGTGTTAATAAAAAAGAAATTTAAATGATTATAAACAGGAGGCTAGTTCTATAACTAGGATTCTTTGGGTCCTAAAGTCCAGTGTAATATTTATTTCCTCTTATTAATATCAAAATAATGTTATTTTAAATTAAGTTATCTCGGAAGTTCTAGTTGCATCTCTTCAAAGTTAGTTTCATCTCTCTAAGGTTCTAGTTGCATTTCCCCAATGTTCTACTTTTAATTAAATTAAATGAGATAAAATTATTGAAATAAAAATTTTAAACTTTTAAAAAAAAACAAGACTAAGCAAGATTTAAATGATATTTTTCATTTTTTTAAATTATTTATGTTATGACTAGGGAGCTTATGTTATGACTAGGGAGTTTATGTTATGACAAGGGAGTTTATGTTTTGACTAGGGAGTTTATGTTATGACTAGGGAGACTAGGGACTAGGTAGTTTAGACAATTTTCCAGACTAAACTATACACATCTATTACGATTTTATTTTTTTTGGCTTACACATTTTTTATTACTTTATATTTAATAATTATCTTTTCTTATCTATATTTTGTGATGCTTTTAGTATCATTATAGCGGTATCACATACAGTTACATACATTTGTTTCTGGAACACGTCTGAGCTAGCTTTTAGAACCAGAAGATAATATAAATCTTATGTATAGATGTTAAATTTATCATAGGTAATTTGTAGTAAGACTGGGCTGGGTAGATGCAGTTCAGGGATAGAGTTTTTTAAGCTGGTTTCTAGTAATATAACTAAAATACATAGATACTGTTACATACATAATTACTGTTTCCACGATAGAATATTTCTGTGTCTTGAACATGTCTGAGCTGGCTTTTAGAACCAGAAAATAATATAAATCCTATGCGTAGATATTAAATCTATTATAGATAATTTGTAGTATGGCTGGTTCAGCAAGATATGGTTCAGTTTCTAGTAATACTTGACTCTTTTATACTGGAACATGCAATACTTACTTCGACAACCATTGGTGTGTGCATGTATGTATAAATGTATGTATATATGTATATATGTATGTATGTATGTATATGTGTGTACATATATGTAAAAATGTTAGTTTTTAGGTTGTCATTTTTAATACATACATGATTTTTTTCCTGCCCTATGTAATTTTTGACATTTGACATTGTAGTGGTTTCGTTTACTGTTTTCATCGTTATTGCTATATTTTATTTGAAACTTGTTTTTTTTGTTGGTTAGTAGCATTCAACCTAGGTATCTATGGCGGCATTAAACTTTGTATGGTTTTTTTATTTTTATAACTTCAAATATTTTTCTACATCTTATCGGCTTGAGTTTATTTATCCAAAATGTACCAGTTTTAGCAATTTGCTGTACTTTTTAATGTACGTTTTATCTAACAGCATTTATCACATTGGTAGTGTAGTTGAGTATTTTGTGGTTTTCTATCAGAATAATTTTTATTATTTTGTATTATCATTTACATTTTAGTTTATTGTTTTTTGTTATTTTTGTTATAAAAATTTATTTATATTTTATCTTAAATATTTATCTTATTATCTTACATAAATTTTATTTTATTTTAAATTTGTTATATTATTTGGTATTGAATTCACTACTCTCACTATCTATATTATCTCTTCAAAAATATTAGTGCTTTACAAATTTGGGTGAAGTTAGGGTTTTGGCTATTTTGTAGTGAAGTCTTTTTTTACTGCAGGATAGAGTAGGCATAAATCGCAGGGTTAAGTATAAATGGTGATGTTTATCTGACAGGATAAACTAGGTATTGGTGCTGAGTCTCTTCGAAATACCAGTAATAATAAACGTGATTTTGAGGAGAAGTTTATTACCATCACTACATAAATTATGATTACACAAAAGCAAAAATGTTTTTTCTTTATCTTATACCTCCTATGATTTTATATTTATTCATTTTAAATACTGATATATCTATACATATGTATATTTATTTTAAATATGTTAAACATTTGTATTTACTGTAGATTTATGGTTACTTATGTATCCTGTTTTGTTTTTATTACATTTCTATTATATGGGCTGTGTCTAAATTATCATTATCATTTTTTACTACACGATTTACTATAGTGTATTTGTTTTTGTTCTGAACATCTGTTCAAAATATATTTTAAATTTTTTTATCCTTTCTCTCTTCCTAATTTTTTCCTTATTTCACTTGGGCTTGACAGCTCTATGATGCATATTTGTGCATTTTTTAAAGAAAAAAAAAACAAGACTAAGTGAGATAAAAGATAATGTAGCATAACTTAAAAGAAAAGAAATGTAACAAGACTAAGTGAGATAAAAAGAGAGATAAAAGTAGAAAAACTTGGAGAGAGTAGGCAACAGATGACACAAACAGATGACACAAAACAATTCCAACTGGAGAGTAGTTCTAGATTTTGTATATTATATGATTATGATGATGACTATAATGATGATAATGATGATGATGAGTATGATGACAATGATGATGATGAGGATGATGATGATGACAATGATGACAATGATGATGATAATAATGATGATGATGATGATGATGATGATGATGATGATGATGATGATGATGTTAAATAAAGATGATGATGATGATGACAATGATGACGATGATGATGATGATAATAATGATGATGATGACTATTATTATAATAATAATTTTAAAAAATTGTCACTTACAGAGATTGTTGTTCGAGTTTTTGTGATAGTTCAACTTGAAAACTCACTATCTCATCATAATTTCCACATATGATTTCTCTTTTTTGTTCATTTAAACTGTAAAACATTATTGATTTATTTAGAAACATTACAATTAATATAAAATCATAATGAAATTTTCAATAAAATTTAATAAGTTTGGGAAAAATTTAATATCAATTGAAAAATTATTTGTTTGTCCAATAACTTTTGGTCGCTACTATATATACACATATACATATATATATATATATATATATATATATATTATATATATATATATATATATAGATATACATATATATATATATATATATATATATATATATATATATATATATATATATATATATATATACATATATATATATATATATATATATATACATATATATATATATATATACATATATATATATATATATATATATATATATATATATATATATATATATATATATATATATATATATATATATATATATATATATATATATATATATATATATATATTTATATAGATATATATATGCAGGACTTGTTTTAAAGTGTTACGCCTAGAGCGATTTACGTACGCCTTAAGCGATTTTTACGTACGCATAGAGCTGTTTCGGTTAAGCTACTTTTTATCATTTTTTAACTTTTTAATTAGCGGTAACATAAAAGAAGTAATTAATTTTTAAAAAAACCACATTAACTTTTAAATAACGATATGTAAAGATATTTATAACAATAAAGAATTTTAAAATAATTGTTGTAACTTTTCATCGCGATATATCTTATTCCATAAGATATATCGCGATGAAAAAAATTTATATTCCATATTTATTAATACAGAATATAAATGTTTTCTGTAATATAGATTTTTCAAGAGTTTTTTACTGAATTTATAATTAAAAAAATTTGAAAAAAAATTTGTAATTAAGGATTGACATTTTTTTTAATATCTCAAAAAATGTCTTAATATTTTTGTTATCATGATAACAAAAATATCAAGACATTTTTTCGAGATATTAAAAAAATATGTGCCAATGAATGAACAATCTATTTGTATTGTACTAAAAATTACTTCATCAATTATTACTCTTTGCTTTTCTTATTATTTAAAGGTATATAGATACCTTTACCTTTAAGTTATGCGGGGGAGGGGGCCAGTACAGAAAAAAAAATTACCTGTTACTTGCAATTTTTGAATGAAGACAAATTGTTAAATTTCTTCTGCGTGCGATTCAATAAATTTTTTTTCATAAATCAAGTTATATTATAAGGTAAAGAAATCAGAAGTAGACTATAACATCCGCTGATAATATACTAATATTACGTTGAATATATTTATATAATAGAGGTTTCATTACGCACGAGCACATTACAGATTCTGTTAAATAAATACTAAGGCACGTTTTAGTTTAATGACAGTCTCTATTTTTTACTAATGAATATGTATTTTTCTTTATAAAAGACAAACTAGTATATAAAAACCTTGTATATTTCTATTCTCTCTAAATTGTTTAAAGTTCGAATATGGATTGTATTTTAAAGGACAAAAGATTTACTTTAAAACTTAAATCTTGGGACTTTGCCGATGATTTGCCGATGCGATGAGCACAGAAAAAGAGAAGACTTACGTTATTAAAATCAAGTGTAAATTATGTGATCTTCATCAAAATAAAATATTATTTAAAAGCAATGGTGCCGTAAGGGTAGCTACCCTACAGTTTATAACACAAGTCATATTTTATTTAAGTTGATATATAAATAAAAATAAAAATATAGTTTAATAAATAAATTAAATTTGTTCTTAAAACAAATTGTACAAAGTACTGTACAAAGATTACCTCGTATTTATTCTTTTTTTATTTTATTAAGTTAAATTGTTTATAAACGGAAAAAAAAAAAGAGTTTTGTAATTAAACCTAGAATGAAAATACTTTTGAGTTTGTTTATAATTTAAGGAACTTAATTTTTAATAAACAAATTTTTACGAACCTTTATTATAAACAGATACAATTCAAATTATTAAATATACTTATATTATATTAGTTGAGTATTTTTTTAAGTTTGCGCGATTAAAGTTTTGCGTAGAAGTATTTGTTTTTTGTTTTAAGAATAATTAACAAAAGAGTTTGCATAATTAAGACTTTTATATTTAATTTAACTTTTTTTTAAATTTCCTAAAATTAAAAAAAAAAGCTTTAATCATTAAAAATTTTTCTCTATAGCTCTGTTTCTTTGTGATTTGTTTAAAATGTAAAACATTTTTACAATAACATAAAAAATTTATGAATCAAATTCCTGGCGAATGCGTTCTAAACTATGTATCAAAAAATGCTCAAAGCAGACATATTTATATTTTTATATAACGCAAGTTGAAACGCTTAGCAAAATAAATTTAAAAAATATTTAAAAACCTAAATTATTCTTTGCTAGTCAAAACAAAATTGCTGTTTAAATAATTAACATGGGTTTTTGTTTATCAATGTTAATATTTTCTGTTTACTCCAGAAATTTTTTAAAATAAAAAAAATCATTATTTTTTATTCAATAACGATTTATAAACAATAATTATTCAAAAATAAATTTTAGAAATAATTAAAATATATATAATATCAGGCTTTCCCAGGAAAGGCGTGCGGTCGCACGTTTGTCCACGCATAGAATAAAATTTTCAGAAAACGTGACCGCGGCAATATTTCGTGTGAAAGCGGAATTATCCACAGAGAATAAAAAATAATATTAAAAAAAGGAAACGAAGTCTAAACAAAGTATAAAATTGAAATTGGATGTAAGAAAAATATTTTGATAAAAAAAAATTTAAAAAAAAAAAAATTCTTGTAACAAAAAAAAAAAAAGTCTTGAACATTTTTTTCAAAATTTTTATACTGTTTTTGTTTGCTTTTTTAAGGGTTGCTATTTTCAGCTACGAAATTTGATACAAGTCAAGGAAAAGACGACGATAAGTCATAAAAATTTCACGAAAATAAAAAGACTTGATACGAAATTTATTCACAAACTTTATCAGACAATGTATTAAAAAACTGATTCATTATTTACGCTAGACAAATTCGGTTAAACTTTTTCATTTACTTTAGTTTTTACGAAGGTTTATGCAAAGGCGTTGACTTTATTCCCCAATACTTTGACCAGAAAATAAATTGCTGTTTTATTTATTAAATATATTATTTGAGATTTTAAACATAACACAATTTTAATGTGAAAAAAGTTCTTTCTCGACTTATTCTAAACTGAGTCAATGCTCGCCTTTTATTACGTTGAAATTATTCAATTGCATAATTTTGTAATTAAGAAAGAAGTTAAAAAAATATTTGCATTGCTTCTGTGGTCATTGTCACAAAAACAGTTCCTTCGGGACATTATTATATATTAACACTGGTTCACAATGTCAAATAATGATTGCAAAATAAGCAACTCAATCGTTTGACAATAAAATTTTCTTTTATTTAAAAAAAACAACAACATATTTTACTAATAAATAGCAATCGTTTTCGTGTTTTTTTGCGTATTTAAATCAATACATTTAAACATTTAAATGTATTTACAAAACATTTAAAAATTGTTTATAGTTCTATCGTGAATTTTGAAGTATTATTGACTGATAAAAGTCATAAACAAATTTTACATTAAAAGGTCCTTTTATTTTCTTTAAACATTAATTTATACAATAATCTTTTTCTTTTTGATTTGATTTTTCTTATTGATTTGATTTTTCATAACTAAAATAACTACCACAAAAAAAAAATAATAAAATAAAATATAGGTAAATTTTTTTTTTAATAATATACATTAACTTTTTAATTTTAAAGCACAAACAGATTTCTGTTATTTACTTTAAGATTGCTTGCATTTTTGCGGTATTTTCGTTTAGCTTTGTTTTGGCGCGAATTCTTGAAACGCATAATAATAAAACTTGGTCATTTAGAAAAATTTATTCTATGCGTGGACAAACAAGGCGTGCGACCGCACGCCTTTCTTGGGAAAGCCTGATATATATATATATATTTACTAAATAATATTGAACTAAAATTAATAATAAAATAACAATTGAAAACTTTACAAACTTTTCATAATAAATTTACATTTAAAACGTTTATAGTTATTTGACTTAATTGTTAAATTGAACTAGTTAGCGGTTATTTATTTATTGCGGTAGTTAAAACACTTAACGTCTATAAAAAATATATATATAATTTTAAAAGGTCAATTATCGCGTTAAGCTAATGCATTAAGCACATTTTATTTAAAACAAGGCCTGTATGTGGTCTCACTCAAATTGAACATAAAGTTGTATGCTACAACACGTTTACTTAAAATTGAAAATTATTTTAATTAACTTACGTTAATTACCTTTTAATTAAGTTGTTTAAGTTAATTAACTTTAATTAACTTTTAATTAACTTCCAATAAGACACAAGCTAAATAAAGTTTAGTTTTTATTCAAAACGCTATTAAAGTTAGCTACAGTTGCAGTTAATATAAAGTCTTGAATTAATGTGCATAACAACAAGATTTTACAATGCAATAAAAATATAAAATGCAAAACAATGCAACTGTATAGACAAAAAAACTTGTCCATTAAATGCCAACACTTCTTTAGCAGCATTGGTTATTGCTCTTGACAAATTTTGGCATTCTGATTTTCTCCCTATGTTTGTTTCATTGGGAAATCTGGGAAAATTTTTGAGATTATTAAATCACTTCCTAACCAAGGCATTTATGACCATCCTTAAAGACCAACACGCTTCTTCATTTCTAGTAACTTCAGGGGTTCCACCTTTGGTCCTGTCTTTTTTTTATCTACATTAATATGGCTCTATTTGCTAACAACTCAGCATTATACTACTGTCTTGACAAAAAGTCTTTTTATTTTGATCGCATAGAACAGGCAGCTGATCTTGAATATGATTTTACCTCTGTAACAGATTGGGGCTTGCATATAACACTATATATATATATATATATATATATATATATATATATATATATATATATATATATATATATATATATATATATATATATATATATATATATATATATATATATATATATATATATATATATATATATATATATATATATATATATGTATGTATGTATGTATGTATGTATGTATGTATGTATGTATGTATGTATGTATGTATGTATGTATGTATGTATGTATGTATGTATCTATATATATATATATATATATATATATATATATATATATATATATATATATATATATATATATATATATATACATATATATATATATATATATATATATATATATATATATATGTATGTATGTATGTATGTATGTATGTATGTATGTATGTATGTATGTATATATATATATATATATATATATATATATATATATATATATATATATATATATATATATATATATATATATATATATATATATATATATATATATATAGTGTCTTGGTAGTAAAAAGTTTTTCCCATAAACTGTTGTTTTTAAGAGCGCGTTAATAAGCCTGACCAGAAAATGTTAAAAAACTTAAAAAAAAATTTTTTTTTTTTAAATGATACACCAAACCTTCAGTCGATGTAGCAGCACTCCCTTGCGAGTCAGGCTATTTGTCAGTCGATGTAGCAGCACTCCCTTGCAAGTCAGGCTATTTGTCAGTCAATGTAGCAGCACTCCCTCGTGAGTCAGGCTACTTGTTTTTTTGTCATAACGATCATAACCGTGACGGTTACAACGGTTTATGACGGTTATGACAAATATATATATATATATATATATATATATATATATATATATATATATATATATATATATATATATATATATATATATATATATATATATATATATATACATATATATATATTTATATATATATATATATATATATATATATAGTCTTGTCTTGCATGTCTTACATGGTAGTCGAAAAGTTTTTCCCATTAACTGTAGTTTTAAACAGAGTATAACAAACCAGACCAGAAAAAATTTAAAAAATTAAACAATTTTTTTTTCTTAAATGATAGATTTGCCTGCCCTAACCAATAAGACTGAGGGTTTGGTTAGGGCAAACCTCAGGCTATAAGATAGTCGATGTAGGAGCACTCCGTTGCGAGTCAGGCTATAAGATATTCGATGTAGCAACATTGATCTGTCTAATCAACGATGTAGCAAAATTGATCTGTCTCTATTCTTAAAACTTTCTATTGGTTCACACAAGAAACTCAATTAAATTTATTCCAAGTTAAATAAGATTTAGGGAGGCCACCTTAAGTCTTTAAATTGCAATAAGACCTAAAACACACAAAAAAAAAAAGTTTTTCATGTATGTCATGTTGGGTCTCAAAAAAGTGAAACTTTATAAAAATTTCAAAAATATTTATCATTTGTTAAAAATACCTTTAAAAAAATTTTAACAAAAACCATAAAAAAATGTTTTTTTTAATTTTTTGTTAAAAAATAATTTTTACCCAATAAAACTTAAAATAAAAATTCTTTTGTAAAATTTTAATTTTTTTTGACATTTTTATAAAACTTTGCTTCTTTTAAGACCCAACATGACATACATTTGAAAAACTTTTTTTTATTCTGTTTAGGGTCTCATTGCAAGTTTTCAGACAGGTGGTTCCCCTAAATCTCATTCAATTTTGAAAAAAATTAACAGTGTCTTGTGAGAACCAATAGAAAGTTTTAAGAATAGGGACAGATCAATTTTTGAATGTATGAGGCATTGGATGCACCCTAACATATATATATATATATATATATATATATATATATATATATATATATATATATATATATATATATATATATATATATATATATATATATATATATATATATATATATATATATATATATATATATATATATATATATATATATATATATATACATATATATATATATATATATATATATATATATATATATATATATATATACATATATATATATATATATATATATATATATATATATATATATATTTAACTTCAATTTTTGAATGTATGAGGCATTGGATGCACCCTAACATATATATATATATATATATATATATATATATATATATATATATATATATATATATATATATATATATATATATATATTATATATATATATATATATATATATATATATATATATATATATATATATATATCTGTGTGTGTGAGATATTAATGGAGATGTAATATAAAATAAATATTTTATATAAAATTTAGGTAAGTTATAAAATATAAAAAATAACTATATATAAATTTTGCATTTTAATGCTCACATTTAAAGCTTACATTTCAGATGATTTTAATGGTAATAAATAATGCTCCCAAAAATCCTAAAAAAATAAAATAGTAAATTTTTTAACAGAATAATTTTTATTTTAATTATTTTATTATTTATTAGTTTTGAGTAAAAATAAAGCTTGCAACATATTTATTCTTCATTTTCTACATTTTTTTTTTGTTACCATTTATTATTGTTCAAAATATATGTTTAAAAATATTAAAATAAAAAAATAATTTATAAACAATCTGGTTAAACAAAATATCTGGTAATCAATGGCAGTTAAATGTTGATCACCATTTTTACCCAGATGATAAATTACAAATAACTAATTTAATTTCCAAAATAACGCATCTAATTTATGAACAAACTTTCCAAAATAACACAAAGTTTCTAAGCACTTGTTCCTAACATGTGGCAAAGAAAAGTTAATTACACAATAATTTAAAAAATTAATTTATTTTAATTTAAGCAAACTTATAATACTATATGTAAAACTATATATATTTCAAATAGATAACAAAAAATTATATTTTGTAAGAGGAAATACCTTTAATTCAGTCAAGTGTTTTTTTTGGATTTGAAGAATGTTTTCAACAACCTGTAAGCAAAAAATAAAAATAAATGCTTCATTTAATAAAATTTGAACAAAATGTTGCTATTCTCAAATTACAGTCTCTTATTAAAGCACTAATTTATTTTATTTATAAATAAATAACAAGCAGCATCTAAAATTAAAAAAAAAACGTTAAATAAATGTGAAATACATTTATAAAAGCATGATCATTTGTATGTAGTAAATATCAGTTCCAACCAAATGAATGTCGAGACAGTATGCCGATTTTAGACGAAGATGTCTTGGATGACCTGTATTTAGACCATTGTATCTCTATCACATAATTAACACAATTAAAAGTTGTGTCTGATAAAATGTCATCAACAAAACCAGGTGTTCTAAATCACACAAGATGATTGACACTGCTCAACAGAGTTTGCCAATTGTTTATTGCCACCCTACCGACAATCTTCATGTGAACCCACATTTTAAGGGGTCCCCTAATGTAACAATGATGCAAAGCATGTTTACTTAAAACTCAGTTTCTAAAGAATCCTTTTAGTGATACTGTTGCTATTGTGGATTCATACATAAGTTGAAGTACATACATTTTGATAACTTGTTGCATGCAATGTTAGCAGACCCAGATATAGGTTAACAGTCTGGGGCAATTGGCATAACCCTTCGGTGTAGAAAAAAAGACAATAAAATCAACATTAGCCAGCTCTCAGTTCCTGCTATTAACTATGATGCAAATAACTGGATGGAACTTGTATCTCAGCCACCAGTCACAATGAGCCTATAAAATGAAGAAAGTGGCCAGATCAGAGAAATGCCACTTTCTGGTAAATGTTCTAATCACACACAATGTGTATGAGACTGTGCAAAACTTGTTATGGAAGCCTTGCATACAGTTTACTCTTGCAGTCTTGTGCCGCAGTTTGACTCAAAAAAGGATTATGCTGAAATTTTTGTAGATAGTGATTCTACTAAATAAGCATTGTATACTTATTTGCTGATACTCGTCTAATTGTGTAACATTCTGTTTAATTAAAGTGAAATACAAACAATACTGCAACTTTCGGTATTAAAGAGTTAGGAACTTTAATGGCAAAACTTCAAGGTAAAAAATAGGGCCATTTCCCATGCCTCATATTATTGTTTTTATTATTTTTTATTCGTTTTCAGGTAGATAAATTAATCAGAACTAGACCTTTTCTTTCCAACTCATCCTATTACATATACCAAAACTATACATATAACTAAAATTTATTTAAACATGCCTAATTTTAAGTTATAAGTAATAACAACATTTATAAAATTTGAATATAAATTGTTTCAAAACAAAATCATAACACAACGCTCCACAAAAAAATAAAATTACAAATATAGATCTTTTTAACTTATTATCTTATTTAAATAATATTTAAAAAAAAATTCAAATTTTTACATGTTAGAAAAATATATTTATAATTAAACAAAAGTATTAGTTAGACCCTCACCATATAAAATTTGTTCTCATAAAGGGAGATGAACCCTCACCATATAAAATTTGTTTTCATAAAAGGAGTTGAACCCTCACCATATAAAAATTGTTCTCATAAAGGGAGTTGAACCCTCGCCATATAAAATTTATTCTCATAAAGGGAGTTGAACCCTCACCATATAAAACCAATAAAATAACTTTTTTTATTATTTTATTATTTTTATTATTAACTACAATAATAAAAAATCAAGTCTTGTTAATTATTCAATTAAATAAGAACAAGTTATTGCTTAATAAAGAAGTTAAAAAAATTTAATATTTGTAATGACATAAAAATTATAATTTTATATCTTATACTGCTGAGTTAGGTGAGCATGATGACATCATACTGAAATAGCCTGCTGCGGGGACTTCAGTACATACATCGACTGACAAATAGCCTGACTCGCAGTGGAGTGCTGCTACATCGACTGAGGGTTTGGTATGGGTCAGCAACGTTTTTATTCATTATTCTTCGTTTTCCCTCATCGTTTTCTCAAAACGCTCACTTAATTTAGACTAGCAAAAAAAGTGAGCAATTTATTTGTACAATTTTCCTTTTTAATATAGATGCTGGAAAGCTGCATTAAATGTGTAAATAAAAACATGTACACACTAATATTAATTGATTAACTTACTAATTTGTGATATTGCTTTGCATCTTCAGAGAGCGTTGAGGGTAAAACTTCATCTGGTGTAGGTAAAGGATCTATAAAAATATATGCAAGCAAATATATACATTTTATATATATATATATATATATATATATATATATATATATATATATATATATATATATATATATATATATATATATATATATATATATATATATATATATATATATATATAGGCCTGGGCAGGAGTAAATGAGCATGAGTGCAGAGAAAAGCTCTCCTAAAACAAACACAACAAGTCATGCAAGCTATACCTCTAAACAGTTTTTTAATATCTACTTATTCATTAAAAAAACAGTTTATTAAATACAAAATTTGGTTTTATACTTGTTACAAGCATATGTTTGCAACGTTAATGTTACAAGAATATATACATACAAGCATCATTTATTGCGCCAAGAAAAAATTCTTTAGACAAGCATTGTCTTTGGGTATTAACAACATTACTTATTTGATAAAAATTTTTACAAATTATTATAAATGTTTTTACTGCTTATAAAAAATATATTTGCTCATTGTAATTGAATTATTACAACATTCAACAATTCCATAAAAGTAATTAATATATAAAATATATAATTCATTACATAAAATAAAAATTATTATGCAAAAATTTAGTGTAATAATTTCATTTTTTAACAGTTAGATAATTTTGTATTTTATCAAAATAATTTAGAGTGTAACAACCATATATTTATCAGTCAGTCCAATCTAATCAAAAACATTTGCATTTAAATCGGTGCTCTTTTTTTAAATCTATATATAATTTTTTTATTGCAACAACCATGCCTTTTAAAAAGAATTGCAGTTTATTAAACAATTAATTTTTTTTTTATAAAATTTGTGCTTATCATTTTAGTTACAACGATAACTTATGAGAGAAAAAATTATACTTTAGTGAGAGCCATAAACTGCTTCTGTAAACTGTTTTAGGGGAGTGTGGGCAAGAGTGAGAGCTCTTGCTTCTCGCCAAGAAGAGATATATATGAATATATATATATATATATATATATATATATATATATATATATATATATATATATATATATATATATATATATATATATATATATATATATATATATATATATATATATATATATATATATATACAATATAATTTAAATATGCTCAATAAATTTAATTATGGAGAGGTATATACAATAGGTATAGGCATATATATAATAGGTAATACATAATTATAATTAAAATATAAATATAATTATGGAGAGGAGAGAGCATATTTAAATTATATTATATTATAAACACTAGCATTTACCTAATTCTTGTTATTGCAAGTAACAGTAACATCTATACTATATATATTATTTATTTATTTTTTAATTACTATTTTTTATAAAGTTTTTTCAAAAAAAATAATGAAAAAAATGATTGCTACACTAACCCAAACCCTTAGTTAATTTAGAGTCACTCCTTACATGTTCTCCCTATTTAGTCACTTGATGTACTGTTCAATAAAGTTTTCAACGTTTAGATAAGTAAAAACTCAAGAATTTTTATTTTAATTTTTTTAAACTTGATGCTATTATATATTACATTTGTTGTAACATGACCTTATAATACATAAATGATCTGACCTGCAGTTATCTCCTCTCCATAATTACATGGAAACCATCCAATTTTTCCATCAATCATTCCTTCCCACCAACCTCCACTATCTTTCTATAAATAAAATTATTTATTTTTGTTTTAAAAGATTGTATAACTTTTAGACTTTTAGGTGGAATGTTTTTCTGTTTCTATAATTTTTTTATTCATAAAACCTCGTTGTTATTCCAAAGATTAGAAAGTTTGTTACTTTTAGCAATTAACAGAAGTGTTGTTTTATTAAAAAATAGCAATAAGACAAAAAGAAGCGAAATAGAGAAAGAAAAAAAAAAATAGCAATAAGACAAAAAGAAGCGAAATAGAGTAAAAAAAAAAAAAAATTGCAATAAGACAAAAAGAAGCGAAATAGAGAAAAAAAAAAAAAAATAGCAATAAGACAAAAAGAAGCGAAATAGAGAAAAAAAAAAATAGCAATAAGACAAAAAGAAGCCGAAATAGAGAAAGAAAAAAAAATTGCAATAAGACAAAAAAAAGCGAAATAGAGAAAAAAAAAACAAAATAGCAATAAGACAAAAAGAAGCGAAATAGAGAGAAAAAAAAAAAAATAGCAATAAGACAAAAAGAAGCGAAATAGAGAAAAAAAAAAAAAATAGCAATAAGACAAAAAGAAGCGAAATAGAGAAAAAAAAAAAAAAAAATAGCAATAAGACAAAAAGAAGCGAAATAGAGAAAAAAAAAAAAAAATAGCAATAAGACAAAAAGTAGCGAAATAGAGAAGAAAAAAAAAATTTACTAATTATTATAAATAGAGAAAAAAAAAAAAAAAAAATAGCAATAAGACAAAAAGAAGCGAAATAGAGAAAAAAAAAAAAAAATAGCAATAAGACAAAAAGAAGTGAAATAGAGAAAAAAAAAAAAAAATAGCAATAAGACAAAAAGAAGCGAAATAGAGAAAAAAAAAAAATAGCAAGAAGACAAAAAGAAGCCGAAATAGAGAAAGAAAAAAAAATAGCAATAAGACAAAAAGAAGCGAAATAGAGAGAAAAAAAAAAAAAAATAGCAATAAGACAAAAAGAAGCGAAATAGAGAAAAAAAAAAAAAAAAATAGCAATAAGACAAAAAGAAGCGAAATAGAGAAAAAAAAAAAAAATAGCAATAAGACAAAAAGTAGCGAAATAGAGAAGAAAAAAAAAATTTACTAATTATTATAAATAGAGAAAAAAAAAAAAAAAAAAATAGCAATAAGACAAAAAGAAGCGAAATAGAGAAAAAAAAAAAAAAATAGCAATAAGACAAAAAGAAGTGAAATAGAGAAAAAAAAAAAAAAATAGCAATAAGACAAAAAGAAGCGAAATAGAGAAAAAAAAAAAAATAGCAAGAAGACAAAAAGAAGCCGAAATAGAGAAAGAAAAAAAAATAGCAATAAGACAAAAAGAAGCGAAATAGAGAGAGAAAAAAAAAAAAATAGCAATAAGACAAAAAGAAGCGAAATAGAGAGAGAAAAAAAAAAAAAATAGCAATAAGACAAAAAGAAGCGAAATAGAGAAAAAAAAAAAAAAAATAGCAATAAGATAAAAAGAAGCGAAATAGAGAAAAAAAAAAAAAAAAATAGCAATAAGACAAAAAGAAGCGAAATAGAGAAAAAAAAAAAAAATAGCAATAAGACAAAAAGTAGCGAAATAGAGAAGAAAAAAAAAATTTACAAATTATTATAAATAGAGAAAAAAAAAAAAAAAAATAGCAATAAGACAAAAAGAAGCGAAATAGAGAAAAAAAAAAAAAATAGCAATAAGACAAAAAGAAGCGAAATAGAGAAAAAAAAAAAATAGCAATAAGACAAAAAGAAGCGAAATAGAGAAAAAAAAAAAAAATAGCAATAAGATAAAAAGAAGCGAAATAGAGAAAAAAAAAAAAAAAATAGCAATAAGACAAAAAGAAATTTTAGTCTTGAAAACTAGAGATCATTCTTCAGCAACAAAATAAGACATAAAACAAAAGTAATTAAGCAGAATGAAAATCTTTATATTTAATAGGGTAGCCTCATATAACCAATATTTAATAGGGTAGCCTCGTATAACCAATATTTAATAGGGTAGCCTCGTATAACCAAAATTTAATAGGGTAGCCTCATATAACCAATATTTAATAGGGTAGCCTCGTATAACCAATATTTAATAGGGTAGCCTCGTATAACCAATATTTAATAGGGTAGCCTCGTATAACCAAAATTTGTGCTAGTTGTTGTAGTTCTTTTATTAGGTTGCAATTGTTCGATATAATCTTATTGTATCTTAATGCTTTGCTATATGATGAGGGGGATAGAATGAATTATAATGTAATAGTGCTGTTGTATCAGTTGCCTTTTTGTATATTGTTGTTTCTAACTGTCCATCTAGCTTTTTGATAATTGTTAGGAATTTAACTTTATACAATAATTTTTTGCACATTTTTTCTAGGTTAGGAACTTTTCTAGGTAGAAAAGTTCATAGAAATTTATCTATAAAATTTAAAATTTGACTAGATTCGTAAGAAAGCCAATTTAAGTAGAATTATTAGGAAACCAATTTAAGTAGATTCATAAAAAAGCATATTTAAGTAGATTTATAAGAAAGCATATTTAAGTAGATACATTTTTTACTTTATATATTACAGATATATTTCTTTTACTTTTAATTTTTGAATAAACTTTTATTTTAAATGAAGCAAATAAAAATGTTTGACTTTAAAAAAACATTTTAAATCTGTAATGAATAAAATGTATGAATATATTAAATGTGCAAGTGAGTTTAGTGAAACCTGTTGTTATTGATGACATCAACTGTACTTAAAAAACAAATTTAACTATATTTACAACATAAAAAATTTTAAACAACTAATTTATAACAATTTAAAAAAATAATACAAAAAAAATCACCTTAGTAACAACCAAGACATCACCTTTGTTAAATGATAACTGAAATTAAAAAAATAATTACTATATATAAAGACTAAACCAATAGTCAACTTAACTCATCAAAATCTCAGCCAACAACAGATCTAATTAAGAAGTTTCAATACAGTAAATCTTTCGTTCAAAAAGGAAAATCTGAAAGCATATTACAAGAAAAAAATCAAGGCAACTGGACGACCTAAAAATTTGCTTAAATTAATTACGAAAAAAATGCATTTTAGAAGATGATGAAATTACTATAAAAAAGATCACTCAATGCCTCCAGGTAATCAATACTATTTTCAGTCAAAACCTTATAAAGCTTCTGACAAATTCAAGCACATTCGAGTTTTAAAATTTGCTCCCAAGTTCCTTACGTAGTAGGCTATTTGTAGATGTGGTTTTAAAAGCTCTCCTTTTATAACAAATTGACACCAGATCTTTGACATCAGATCTATGTGACTGAATGATTGAAAAAACAACTTTTTCCTCTAATTAAAAAGCACATACAACCAACCTTATTTTGGCTAGATCTGGCATCGATCCACTATTCCAAAAAAGTAATACAGTGGTATAAAAAAAAATAATTTTCTTAATTTTGTTTCAAGGAATGCTAATCCACCATACTGTCCTGATATGCAAATAGTGTTAAAAATCTCTGAGATATATGGATTAATGCAACAAAAATTAATTTATTTTTGTTGAAATAAAAATTAATTATATAAGCATCATTATAAAAAAATCATTACAATTGATTTGGGGATTATTGAGAAAACTCAGTTTAAAATTGTCCAAATTTCAACTGATCATGGTGAAACTAATATTATACAATTTTCTAATATTGAACTCATTTATTCACAAATATTGAACTCACTCATTCAAAGTTTAAATACAAAATTAAATGATAGAAACCCTAAAGAGAACAAACATAATATAATAATAGGAGAATAAAAAAACAAATTTAAACAAAAAGGTGACAGAACCAAAGGATAGGAAATTGAAAGCAAATGAAACTGCAAATGAAAAAGCAATCAGTTTTAAGAGAATGTTTAACTATCAAAAACTACTATTTAAACCTTTACTCATTATAAAAATAATTTTAACTTCATTTATTTAGCTTCACTCAATCACTCTTCACTCAATCACACTTTATTTTATTCTTTATTGTTCTCTTGCTTTTTAAGACTGCATCAGACTACAAGACTAATTTCTGATCAAATTTTTCCTCTAACTCACCTTATGATTTTAGTAACCACACTTTTCTTGTCATCAGAAAAACAGTTTCTTCCATTGTAAGACATCCAAAACTATTTCAATTTTGGTTACTAAAGTTTTTATAACAAAAAATTGTGCTGTACAGCAATCTGAAACTTCACACATGACACTTCTGGTATCATGTTATTGAAATACATTTCAATAACATGAAGTTTTTGGTTTCTTATTGAAATACATGGATGTATTTCAATAAGAAACCATTAGATTTATGGAAATCGTTGTAACAGGCGTATGAAACAACTATTAATTTACTGCTGCTTGAATGCTAAATTTTCTTTTTACTCTGATATTCAAGCATTGAAAATTATATTTCAATCCTTTAATATTTTGGGATTGGTCACAATAATGCAGTATACAGTCATCATTTTTAAGAAAACAAGCAATTAAAGCCAAAAAACTCTAATAACATTTATTCTACAAATTCTCAATAATCTGGTAACTCTTACATAACTTGAAAAAAAGATAAACCTCTTCCTACAATTTTATTCAAAAATAAACTTAATGAAACTCAAATTGCAGACCGTTTTTGAATGCTACCTAAAAGTCACTTAATCTTTGATCTAGATAGGAAAGAAATAATAAAAAAATATAGCTATTCAAAATAAAACAATGACAAAAAAAAATTAACATTAGGAGAATCTTTTTTTAATATAACATCTTATTAAGATTGAGTGTAAACATTTGAGACATGTTATTTAATGATTGAGTGTAAATATTTGAGACATGTTATTCATTAAGATTGAGTGTAACCATTTGAGACATGTTATTCATTAAGATTGAGTGTAATTTTTTGAGACATGTTAAAGCGTGTACACAAAATAAATGTTAAAAAATAAGTACGTCATTTTTTTCAGTGGTTAAAATCTTTTTAATTGTTTTGTATTTTGTTTACTACGTGTTGCGGTTTCAAAAAAATGTATTAGTTTTTTGATTTAACTTCTAGAAATTCTTCTAAAAAACATTCTAGAAATTCTTTAAAAATTTTACTATTAAATTTTACTAAAATAGCTAACTATAGTTAGTTATTTTATTTTCTAAAATCTTCACATTGAAAAAAACTTTATGTTTTTTTGTAGCTATTAGAGCTATGGCGCTATATAATTAAAGCAAGCACTAGGAAAAGATATAAAAAATAAGAATATACTAATAAAATATATAATTTGTAATTAACTTTCAAAATTTTTGACAATTTAAAAAAAATATATTACAAAACATTTATTTTTGTAAACAAATGATAATAGTTTAAAAGATTTACGGCTTTGCAGATGTGGCAAAGAATCAGATGTGGCTCCGAGAATCAGATGTGGCTCCGAGAATCAGATGTGGCTCCGAGAATGAGCCATAATATTAAAGTAATAGTTCATTTGATAATATATTCTTAAAAAAATTTATCTCAAAACGCAACAAATGGTAAATAATACAATTCCTAAAACATTTCAACAGAATATTCTAGAACTTTATTTCGCTTAGTCAGCGTATTTTTTGAACCAATAGAATTAGTTTGTTTGTAAATTTGGCAGGCTTTTAGTATTCATGAATATTCTTTTTATTCTTCCGCAAGATGTTTAAGAACATTCAAGTTAATTATGTTTTTATGTATGTCCGTAAAATAAAAATTAATATATATTAATTTATTAATTTTTAAGCCCCCGCCATAATATATATTAGATATTACAATAATGGAAAAATTAATAATGAAATAAGATCACCTCAATACCAAAAAACACATTTTTGAAAATCAGAGAAAAATGTGATAATTTTTTTTTAAATATATACAAAGTAAATTAATAAAAGTGCATTATTATTTAGGTTAAAAATTATTTTATCTAATATATTATATATATTTTTTCTAATATAAAACTTATAAAAAAGGAAATCAAAATACACGCGGTCTAGACGATTATTTAAAAAAAGTTGCGCAAATAAAATACTATTTTGTTTTTAATTTTTTTACAAGCAAATTTTAGAACTTTAAAATAAAATAAAAATTAATATGATTTGGAAATTGCATGTAAAAAATAATAATCAGTGTTTTAAACAAACCAACAAAAAAATCTATGATGTCATGTACTAAAACTTTTATGAATTAAACGCACTTGAATAAATTATCAAGTCTGTATAATGCGCCTGGAAAATCGCATTTATTTTACAGACTCCAAATAACGCAGAAAATGGAGAAGACAAGCTTCAACTAGGACAACAAGATTTGTTTTTCTAAGTATACATTTATTAATTAATTTAAAAACATTTATTAATTAATAAAAAAATTTGCTCAGACGTTTTTATTTAACATTCCCTTTAATATGAACACAACATGTCTCAGAACTTGGTAGTCCCTTTAAAATTAGTTTTAAAAATGACAAAAGAAGAAGACATAAAATAAAATAAAGTAAATCTGGTGGTGGAAGATAGAAGGATTTTAAAGATAAAAAACTAGTTAGGAAACTGGTTAACAGTTTTAAGACTAACCCAAGTCTTTCACTAAGGGAGCGCGCAAACATTTATGGATTTTCTCATAGTTTTATTGTAAAAGTTCAAAGAAAACATGGTATTCATTCTTTCAAAGCACAAAAAGTGCCCAACCGATCTGAAACTCTACAAAAAAGTATAAAAACCCGCAGCAGAAAGTTATATGACAATTTTATTTCTAAAAATTTCTATATTATTGAAGACGATGAAACTTATATCAAGTACGATCATCAGCAAATTCCTGGTGCCGCCTATTATATTGCCAAATGTAGAGGAAAAGCAGATAAGAAATTTAAATACATAAAACATGACAAGTTTGCTAAAAAAGTCTTGAGTTGGCAAGCTATTTGCAGTTGTGGCAAAAAATCAGCACTTTATATTTTTCAGTCCACACTTTAGGGTCAAATATATGTTAAATAGTGTTTACAAAAACGCCTTTTACCTGTTATTAAAACACACGATAAGCGACCTGTGCTGGCCAGATTTAGTTTCAATTCATTATTGTAAACTAGCTTTGGAATGGTAAAAAAATAATGTGAAATTTGTGCCTAAAACAGAAAATCCTTCAAACTGCCCAGAATTAAGAGTTATTGAAAAGTACTGGGCCATTATTAAAAGAAAAATGAAAAAAATAAAAAAACTTTGCAGAAATATTAAAGATATTAAAATATCATTCAAAAAAGCATCAAATGGCTTCAATTCTTATTCTGTACACAAGCTTATGGGTACCACCAAAGCATTATTGAATCATTTTTGTTTATGTTATTGTTCGAAAGAATGATGTTTACAACTGTTGTTAAAGATGCTTTTTAAATATTACATACTAACAAAATATTGCAACTAAAGTATAATTTAAAATCATATTGTTAAATACTAAATTCTTCTTTCAAATTTACTCCCCACATTATTTCCTTTTGCTGTTCACAAGAAAGATCTTTGAGTCAAATAAAGCCTTGTTTTCTAGAAAATATTTATTTTTTTATACCAGCAATAAAAAATAGTATGCAAAACCCTAAAATTTGAGATATTATTCTTTAAGAAAAAAAAAAGTAAAGGAACCTTAAAGTAACCTAAAGTAGTGACTTTAAAAAAAACAACCTAGTTACCATTTATACCAACAAATTTTAATTTTTTGTATTTTAATATGCTGTTAATTTAATTATGTTATATAGTTATTTAAAGAAAACTGTTTTCTTTTATTAAAAAACTTAGTTTGCCTGTTTTATATTCTGGAAATGGTAGAGTTCCAAGATCGATTCCCACCATGTTCCCACTTTACTCCACTTTATGCCTGTGTCCAAAGCCACTACTAAATAATACTACAAAAAAGTTTATTAATGAAAATATCTAGTAAATACCAAAAGACATTTCAATGTCGGTTAGTAATTATTTAAAAGATGAGCATGATTTTATTTATTTATTTACACTTTTGCCAATAAAAAAAATTTACAGTAGTAACTTATAAAAAATAATGACATGACCAGGGCAAAAAAAGACAAACTTAGCCTTATCACCAAGCCCCAAAAAATGTGTCATTACTAGATAAAACATAGTTAAATAATAAAATATAGTTTCAATGTATACATCTCTGAACTAATAGTATAAAAGAAAATATAAATATATTGCTTAACATTTAAAGTTTATAGTTTTTCAAAGAACAAGATTTAGGAATTGTTTTGTAAAACAAAAGAAATAAAATTTAATAAAATCATAAAATGACAAAAATAACATTTAAGAACTGGATTTTTAAGAATCGATTCTTGTTTTTTCCAGTAAAAAATGATCTAAGATAAAACAATGATATAAACTTTAAATCAAGCATTTTAAGTGACAGTCTTTTTCAGTATTAAAAATCATTAATTAACAATATTTAATTTTAATCATTAATTAAATATTTTTCAAATGAAATTGAACAAGACATCTATTGATCTGACTTCATATGGAAATGAACTACCATGCTTTTAGTACACTTTCAATAATTTTCTGCAGACCACTTTAAACCACTTTCTTCAGACCACTTTAAACCACTTTCTGCACACCACTTTAAATTACATTATATATCAAATATGCACTAAGTTAAAATTTAATGTTGTAAGCAAAAATAAAGCTAGAATAATGTTAATACAAAGTTACAAGAATAATTTTATCTTAACAATTTGACTTGAAGTAAGAAATTATGACAAGACTGATTGATTTCCCTATATTATCAAACTAATTTAAAATTATTATAAGACATTACTTCATCTTCGCATGATCCAACAAACTGATAGATAGCCTGCAAGAAAATTAGGTCATCCAAGCAATCTGCATATGTCTAAAATATTTTGAAACAAAATTTTTGTAAATAATAAATCAATAAAACATTCCTTAACTAAATAAAAAAGATTTTAAAAATTTATACTATTCTAAATTATACTATAACTCTAGAATTTTGATTGATGATTTTTTTTTTTTAATAAGTAGACTTACACAATTTTAGTTTCTACACTTTTTATAATTTTAGGTGAAAATTCCAAACTAAGATTTTTTGAAATCTTTTAAAATGTGAAAAAAGAATATCATACTTAATATATATCATACTTTATATATGTGTTTAAGCATATTCTGTCATCATTTCTAAATATATAGAAGATATTTG